TGGTGAGGCTGTAATCGCAGACCTTGGAATTCGAGTGTCGACTGTGCAACACTTGCAGGATTTGGCAACAGGAAAGTGATGGCGGTAGTGATGGAATGAACAGCGTTCGTCACGATGTCTTGATCGTAATGAGATCGTCGAAGGCGATTTGCAGGTGTGTAGAGATGCGCGTTTCATTCCAGAGCACGCCACCGATCCCGACCCCCAACCACTTCATTCCCAGTGCCCATTCAGCTGGAAGGATCCGGAAAGCTGTTCCAGAAAATATGGTAACACGTCAGCTCCATCTCGCCGAATTCTGGCCCCATTCTATGATTTTGTCCCCATACGATTAAAGGAATACGGCGGGCAATAATTATATCGGTTCGCTGCGGATGGGCGTACTTTTAAGTCGAGTCGTAGTGCCTTACGCCGATGATCCCTGCTCAAATCCTGCCAAGGAGCGCTCCGGAAACTGGCAAGTGAGAAATTAAGCACTGGTTGTTGTTTTTTTATTCTTCCTCCCCCTACGTGGTTCCCATAGAGCAGCATCCGCACTCCAGTCCCATCGCGCACCCCCAGGGGCTCGGCCACGGTGACTCACGCTGCCACACATCGCACGGCAGCGGATCGGCAGCGGTGCATCCCCGCCTGCCACCACGCGACCCAAGGACACACGGCTCCCCACCGCCCCCCCCCCCCCGGCTTATGAATTCGTCATCGCGTAACTGAGTAATCACAGCGGCAGCGAGAGCCAAGTTAACGGTCCTTACACGGGCGCGTCTGTCCAGGATGCTGGCTGGGGAAAGGATGAGGATCGCGTGCAATTAGGGGATTGCGAGTCACTCGAATGATTATTTCACAGACCCATGCCCACATACACAACACAGTTGTACTCATATATGGCGCGCACACACAGACGCCAGCTGTAGCGCTGGGAACGATACCCCGCGTCTGTGCGCGTGTCCACGCGTGCCACTGCTCACGGTATTGCAGCGATGCGCGCCTCTTGTCGACGCTTTCCAAATAGGGCTGAGCACTCTCTATCCGTCCGTCTGCAGCGTTGAGTCACGATAACTCTCGTAATGTGCTGCCCCCATGTGAATGCAATTTTAGCACGAGCGTTGCGGCACTACAGTGGACATGATGTTTGGTCAATGTGGCCGTTGTGCAGTTCGGATAAATAAACGGGGTTATCGCCAAATAAACTACTTCCGATGACAGAAGCAGATTGGATAAATCGTTAGAAAATGCACGCGCGTGCACGATTTTTCTTCCTAGTTTTAATTAGGAAATAAATGCCCCGTGTCTTAATCGAGCACGAGACGCCTTGCAAACGAGGTAATTGCTTCGTCACTCGATTGAATCACTTTTTTCGTTTCCCACGCGAGTACGTTTCATTTGATATTAAGCCCACCCCTTGGCACTTTGATGTAATTATTAAAGCCTGCGCCTTCGCAGGCTTTTAATTTGCGACAAGCGCAAAGGGAGACCCACGGCCGGTTATTATTAGACGGATACAGCCGTCGCGCGTGCTTTGGTTTAGATTTCACCAATTACATTGCACCCTCGATGTCGGCGCGCGGGTTGATGCGCCCTCCGTTATGAAGACAAAACCACCACGTGTTCCAGGGTCACATTGAGATCAAGACATGTTCACGACCGATGCTGCCCACGCCATCTCAAAACCCTTGCGAGTGATGCTGGGGGGGGGGGTTAGTGCTGTCTGGGTCTCTAGAGAGCAGCCGCGCGCGATGGAACGAGCCAACGACGTCGATCTCTTTGTCGCAGACATCTTCTTGCTAGACTACTTGAGCGCCTTTCGCATGGAGCACTCGACCAGTGCCGAGCTGCCAGCGTGCCGCGCTATGATCGGAATTACAGGAGACCAAGCCTCACTGTTCTCAAGCTTGGACAAACGAACTCCCCGTGCCGTTCTGTGGCCGATCCAGCGCCCCCCCCCCCCCCCCACCAACTCACCGCCCCCCACCCCCCCCCACCAACTCACCGTCCCCCCACCCCCCCCACCAACTCACCGCCCCCCACCCCCCCTCCACCATCTCACCGCCCCCCACCCACCCCACCATCTCACCGCCCCCCCCACCCACCCCACCATCTCACCGCCCCCCCCCCCCACCCCACCATCTCACCGCCCCCCCACCCACCCCACCCACCACTCACCGCCCCCCCACCCCCCCCCCCCACCATCTCACCGCCCCCCCCCCCCCCACCCCCCATCTCACCGCCCCCCCACCCACCCACCCCACCATCTCACCGCCCCCCCCCCACCCCCCACCATCTCACCCCCCCACCCACCCACCCCACCCCACCACCCACCCCCCCCCATCCCACCCCACCATCTCACCGCCCCCCCACCCCCCCATCTCACCCCCCCCCCCACCCACCCCACCATCTCACCGCCCCCCCCCCCACCCCACCATCTCACCCCCCCCCCCACCCCCCCCACCCCCCATCTCACCGCCCCCCCACCCCCATCTCACCGCCCCCCCCCACCCACCCCACCATCTCACCGCCCCCCACCCCCCCCATCTCACCGCCCCCCCCCCACCCCCCACCATCCACCGCCCCCCCACCCACCACCATCTCACCGCCCCCCCCCCCCACCCCCCACCATCTCACCCCCCCCCACCCACCCCACCTCTCACCCCCCCCCCCACCCCCCCCCACCATCTCACCGCCCCCCCCCCCCCCCCACTGCCTCGATCGCACATGCGCAGTTGGGCAAACGATGTAATTTGTACGTGGAACTTCTTTCGCACCGTACGAGCCAAACGTGCTCATCGGGAGTGTGCCGCGTAGATCGAGCCCGCTCGACAGGACGACAGTCCGTTGAAGTGGGGGGTGGGGTAGGGGGGGGTCAGGAGCACTGCACGAGGCGACCAGGTGCTGGGCGGATTATTACATCACAGGACCGTGAGAATAGGCGATAGCTTCAGGGAGGCTTTCATTCAGCGCGGATGATTTGTTTTGATGAGACTACTATCCCTGCAACGGTGGACGTGTGCGTCGCTCAGTGCATCCACGAGACTGGACGAACTTTAATGGTGGGGTTTCAGTGGAAACTGTACAACTTGGCATTTGTTTTTCAGTCACTGGCCCAACATGACCGAGAAGCCGGTTGAATCGGACACGAATCCAGGACGCGGAGAGCTCATGGACACACAAAAGGCCACCACTGCGGCTGATTCCACGGCGTCCTTGAAATCTTTGTTGCAAGACACTGCGTTTTAGTTTATATTAGAGGGGGGAGGGGGGCGGAATTCAACTATTGTCAATGGCAAGAATGCAATTTCCGACACCATCAGCCAAGGTAAATCTACTGCTGGATGAAGGCTTCCCCAATCCATTACAATCTTTAGCGATGGAAAAATGTACATAGCACCGAGAAACCAGATAAATGTATCGCTGATACTACTTAATGCACATCTTACTGTTCATAAATGTTTCAAAAGGAAATAATGGATACAGACACGGGACTGTGGAATTTCTAAAACTATATTTATTTTTTACCAAGAAAGGTCCATTGAGATAAAAAGCTCGTTTTCAGAAGAGACCTAGCCATGAAATCTCAACGAAGTGGTGTATCACGTGCAAATGTAAAGCAGCCAAATAATCTAAACGCATGCTTCTCAATGTGGATGGATAACCCGGAGGAAAATCCACGCGAACCGCGTGGAGACACGCACAAACTCCAAATTATTCAGCAGGCGTCAGGGTCGGAATCGAACTCACGACCTCCTGTATATCAGCAAACCACTGCGCCATCACCCCCACAAGGCAGAGCAGCACCATCCGACAGCCCGCTTGAGCAGGGACCACCACGATTCCAGGTTACTTCCAGATTTGAAGCTTTCGTGACTACAAGGATTCATACTCTTAGGTTTTTTCGGTAAAGTCACGTAGGTAAAAATAAAATTAAAAGTTAATAACTTTTACTGATTATTACTTTTATTAACTTTTAATTTTATCTTTTACCTACGTGACTTTACCGAAAAAACCTAAGAGATACAGGTTACACCGCAAGAGGTGTTGCGCTAAACCAGCGGCCACATTTACTTTGCAGCGATTTGGCCGCTGCGCATCGAATGACACGCGGTGCGCATCCCTGTCGAGATCACATCCGAAACTATTTAGTTTGGTGCCCTCAAGTGTTTTGAAGAGTGAATTGCAATCTCTAGCGGCAGGAAAAACCTCGGCACGTGGCAAATTAGCCACGGATAAATGGATAATTTAACGTCAATAAGAAAGCCAGTGATTTAGCAATCTTGATTTGCGGCTTTTGTGACTGCAATAATCCATACTCTTTGGTTATTTCGGTAAAGTCGCGTAAATAGAAAATTAATAAATCACGTTTCAATCGCATTACAAGCGACCGTCTTCAGGTCGCTTGTGTTGCGATCGAAACTTCGTGATCTATTAATTTTCTATCTACGCGACTTTACTGATATAGCAATTCCATTGTTTTGCCTGGGAGTTGGTGAATTACAGATCCAAGGAAATATTTAAGGCAACGTAATGGGACATCTTGCCTCGCGTCTCCACACAATGTCTCTTAACCCAAACGAAACGTTGAATTGCGTCGATGGGCGCGTTAATATGAACGCTACGATGAACATTGTTGCATGAAATTTGACCATTTCCCCCCCCCTACCACTTCAACAAAAGCGACTTACCGCAACTGCCATCAACCTTGGCCCCTGTGCGACGAACAGGACGAACGCAACGGGCGCCTCCGGTAAATCCAAGGCGCGTGCGGCACGGACGAGCAGCTCGTATTAGACGATTCCCGATGTCCAGGTGGCCGCTAAACATGCTACCGGCACACACGGGTTCCCCTCTGAGCAAGTGAGAGCACGCATTTCGGGGGCGACAGCTGGAATGCTGCCGTTGCACGCGTGAAACCAAGGCGCAATGACGTTGATGAGGGATATACACTCGGAAACACGTTAGCAAATTACTGGCGAAGTAAAAAAATTAAATATTTTTAAAAAATCACCATGGAACACCAAAATGGGAATTTATTATATATTTTTAAATTATTACAGTATTTTTCATTTATACAAAGCTGATCTCCCAAGGCTGAATAACCACCATCTGCAGAAACATCTTTTTTTCTTCAATAAATGAGACTCCCAGTTAAGAGGTTCTGCCAAACATGCTGGCCCGTACCTCTCTATTCGATTAATAAGGACCTTGACCCATTGTACAATCTGACTGAATAGCATCATCACATCCAATGCTCCAAAGATCCAGACGGACCCCAATGCGTCACTTTTTTTTTTTCAATGTCTTGGCAGAGGAGTTGACAAAACTCTTCATGGGGAAATAAAAAGCTCAATCGTCGCATGTTACAAACGAGTGCCAAATAGTGTGTGTGCATACATCTCTAAACATGTATACGTACGTATATCCTAACACACACTCCACTATATATACAGAATTATACAGTACTAGTTTGTTTTGCAGCTTCGGAATCCGATGCAAGCCTGGAGAATTCAGGTTCGTCACACATTGCCTCGGGGTATGGCAAGGGAATGAACTGCGGCCGCAACGATTATAGGATGCCAGCCAACGTGAACACGCTACCGTTGTAGGTGTTTTATACACACACGCGCGCGCACACAATACAATTTACAGCACACAGATCAGTTACTGGTCAATTCAACTCTGAAGGGAGGTTGCTCATTCCACGTTGTTCGCACGGTCTTGTTGACTCAATGATGGTTAGTTGAGGTGAGCGTTATTCGAACACATCAGCCGACTCAATCCCTGGGAATTCACGCGATGTTGTATAAATGCATTTAACATGTGCCCCCCACCCAGTTAGACCACACGAAGACTCCTAATCGTTTGATTAACCCTGCCCACGTAAACCGAAACATATCCATAGCGCTCCATTACTCTCCACGTGCGCTGCCTTTCAAACGGGGATCTGCATGAAAATACTGCAGTCCCCACGATGTGAAGTTGCATTGGAAACAGACAATTCTTCGTTCCAGGGAACTTGCATGCCAACTCCTACGTGTCTAAGTTACAAGAACCTAACAATAATGTACACGTGGGCCGTAGCATTCTACACGCACCAGCCAATACGAGTTTTGGCATTACTGTGTGCATGTGTTCAGTGTACAATTCACTGTTGTAAAACGGTAGATGTTTTCTTTTGACCATTTCTGCAAGTTTGAAATTTTAATATCGCCAACCACCTCACCAACCCACCCCACCCCCAACTGCCTAACAAGAAATGTGAAATTTCTTAAAAAATAACTCTTATTAAAAAAGTAACATTTAAATAACCACTTCCTGACACGCACACCGTAAAACCAAGGCTAAATCAAATGCTCCATTAGAGATGAAATAGATGTGGTTGTGAGCCAAATTGTTCCAAAGTCAAAAACACTGGCGCTCCCTATCATGTAGGGCCAGAACAAATGCACGTTAGCTCTGCACTGGTCGGGTATTCAACAGCACGTGGCTTTGTAAGAAATGCAAGTACATTACCGCCACAGCCAGTACTGCACTTTACCCACCCCGTAAACCACCCTCATTGCATGCATGGCATGACCACACAACTAATTATCTTAACAGCAGCTATACATATTCCAAATCAATGATATATTGTTTTTTTATTGTGGAATCGAAGAGATTTAATTCCATTGAGTTCCAATATGCGTGATACCATATGCAGCATGATTAAGGAGCAGTGCAATGTACCAATAACATGTTGGTAACATTAAGTCATGAAGGGTAAATGGAAATCAGATTGTTGTTTTTTTGCGTTACACTCACGAACGTGGTGAAATAAATACAGCACACCACAACGGGACCATTCTGCATGTATTGTAATCTACTCTTAATCAACAACCCACCAACATCGATGAACATCTACAATATCGTAAATATTTACATAAAGCAATGGAGAAACGTAATCACTTTATGGCACAGCCTCATTGCCCGATAGCATGTTTTTACTTTTGCGTTTCCGTTATCATCTACACACCGAGTGTTCCCAATCGCGAAGCTATAACGGAAGAGGAATAACGTTGTCAAGAAACGTGGTCACTGCAGGCCACTTACAGGGGCGTTACGGAAGTGCGGCTAACAAAACGTACTGATGTCGCATGACGTAACTGTGAATTTTAAAATGAATACAGATTCGTACAAGTAATAAAAAAAACGAAAAACAAAACAAAACCAGATTCAGTGCAAAGCCAACATGACAATATTTCTCAATGCACCCTTTAAAATATATCCCCACTCCCTTATGTAATGTTAAATCATTAACCCTTATCTCTTTTCTTTTGCTTCACACGAACAACAGAAGGAGATCAATAAAAGCCACATCACAAAAACCTATATACTTTACCAAAACAAATCTGCCCACAACATGAAAAGAAAAAGGATGGTTAAGTCAAATCTTGACCCGACCTCATATTTGCACAAAAAAGTACTTTGTTTAGAATAATGTCAAGTTCAACCACTGAAACATGTTTACAACATACAGTAACATCATAGGTATGGAAAATTGATGGTTTTATTTGTACAGTTAGACCAGTGCATGCCAAATGATGAACTAATAAAATGGTGGATATTTACTCTTGCTAGGATTACTCCCTCTCTCTCCTGGATGATAATAATTAGGTACAGAGTTCCTGCGACTCGGTTCACTCTTCACTGAAGAGATGCGGGGGTTTTCTTCTGGTTGACTGACGATGTTCCTCTGTGAACCATCCGGTCATTTTTGCATCAGCCCTCAGGACAAAAGCAAAGTGACAAGATTTTTGTGATGAGGTCAATTTTAGCGCCACACCATCAACAATTTTCAATACGATGTACAATGCCGAGACTTTAAATTCTTTTGGTGCTAGATGCGTCAGTGGGCAATCCCACATTTTAATCTATCTTCACATTGGTGTAGATCTTCCGAACGAAGGCACTTGTTCCCATGTAGCCAACGGCTCCTATTCAAAAATACATACAAAACATCATCATCAATGCGATGCATATAAATCACAATTCACATGTATACGCCGCCAAGACAGAGCAAATATTCCCTCATTTAGCATTCCCCCATTTTGCTTGATAAACTATAGAGGGGCAATTACTGTTGGCGAGCACCTATTCGGGCCTTGATATATGTAGAACTTCTTTCCCATGGTACATAACAAACTGTGTTAATGGAGGTGCGGGGGAAGGCCAACAAACTAAACACCCACTCAGTTGTATAAAGGAGTGGACAGTACCATTCACAACCACCTTTTTACCCTCTGTACTGATGGTAACAGTGCGCCAATTACTTAAGACAGATTTAAAACAGCTGAGCTCAAGGACAGTTTCAGATATCACTTGTTAATTTTGTTTAAAATGACTTGTAGATTATGCTGTGCGTGGCCTGGGATTGAACCAACGTCAACGGGAATCAATGTGCTAATCATTCTGCCACCGATCCCCACAACTATGACGCACATGAGAGCCTGGTTACATTTGCCAGGGTGGCGAGATGTTAACTACCTCGCCTTGTATTCAGGAGGCCATGGGTTCAATGCCGACCCTGACGCCGCATCTTGTATCTTTGGAATTTACATGATCTTCCCGTGGTCGTGTAGATATTTTTAGGTTTTTCCCCTCCACATTTAGAAACTTGTGTTTAGAGTATTTGTCTGCTATACATTTCCACATGATAAGCCACTTTTTTGAGATAAAATCTGAGGACAGGTCTCTTCTAAGAAAGAGCTAGATAGCTCAGTAAGCCTTACCCGGTAAAAAAAATGTGTAATTGTTATTGGCGAGATCCTATTCAGACATTCCAGATTAGAAGCTTGTGCAGCTAGCCACCAACTACTGAATGGTAGAGCCATAATCTCTAATTGAGTAAGTTTGATGTAGATGCCAATTGTCAGTAACATGTATGGCCAGGAAATTTACAGAATTGCTGGTACAGTATGGTGAAGTGCACAGACCACACATCATTGAGATCACACCCACCCCCCCTCTACCATTAACTATACACACACACCCCATCAATCAGATTATGGAAAAGACCAATGCATATTAATCAAATTCCATTATTCATAGCTTTTGTAGAACATAAAAAAGTATTTCACTTCATGAAAATTGATGCAGTCGTCATGCCACCAGAGAAGATAAAAAGAGGATAACTTCGTAGGAAGTCTATTGAGTGGTGAAATCTTCTTGGTTCTTTCGGTAAAGTCACGTAGAAGGGAAATAATAAAAATAAAACATAATAATAAATAAAAATTATTCTTATTTTATTTTATATTATTTTGTTATGTTTTATTTTTATTACTTTATTATTTCCTTCCTACGTGACTTTACCGAAAGAACCAACAAGATGAATCCCTGCAGTCACGAAAGCTTTAAATCGAAATTTGAGTGGTGAGAGTTTGGCGTACAGGCAAGCTGGTCCCCCTTCCACCAGAATCTCATTTCCACCACTGCCTCAGTGCAACTCAGAAATGCGCACAGCCCCCCATGCCCACTTGAACAGACGACACTTTCATATTTCAAATATTTTTTGCTATCAATGTCAAGGATTTAAATCAATTACTTTATATTTGGAGCCCTTGCAGCGAGCACTGCAGCACGGTGTGTTATAGAATACTCCTGGAAGATGACAATACCATTTCTCAGGTCCCTTAAAAAGGACCCCTACCCACATGAGGTGGCATACCTGTTGTGTATGTCCTGCAGAAAATTACTGACATGACAAACACATTTCTAGTTAGTAATAGGTTTTTACCTTTTATCTGGTATAAAACGAACACCTTTATACAAGGCATCATATGTTTGCAATAACCACAACACAAGCAGTCAAAATGCAAACAAAAAAAACAACTCTGATAATGATATGCACTGCCATTGAAGTTGATTGGTCCACACCCGAGACAGCTTTTCTTAGAGCCTAGCCTCCACTGGTGTTGGACCAGATGGCGCCAAAAGGCGTACAACTCAAAAACAGCGCACTATCAGAGTACATTTCTAGTTCTCAATGAAAAAAAATAGTTAAGGATTTATATTTGTAATTATTGGTGAACCGGGATAAGATCATCAACTAGCCATACTGCTAAACACCTGGTTAACTCAAGGATGGCTGAAATACAGATGGAACCAATGACCTCAGTGGTGCTGGGCTCAGTGCTCCGACTCGGTATTCGCCTCGAGCTAGCTGCTGGGTAACTTCTGAACTTCAATATTTTTCCTCTACTCTGAGAGATAGCGACCTGCAATGTCCACTCGCAAAATGCCCTGACTTGGCAAAAGCGTCGGCCAGGCTTGGCTCTACCGAGGGCTTGCGTGCGCGGTCGCTCGTCAAGAGCGGGGACATCTGCGCAGGAACTCTCACGGACTGACCTGCATCCGTTGTATCAACACACTTTTCCCGACTGTAAACTTTCACTGCCTCCCCAGAGCGGGCCAAGATAAACTGGGCTTGACCCTGGCGGCGTGGCTCCCCGTGCCCTGCCCATTGTTCTCTCACTAACGCTGTGTGTTCAGTGAAGTGGGGGAGGGAGGTGGGTGCTTAAGGCGGGAGAGGAGGGGGGGGGCTTCCTTCCTCCCCTCTCTTGGGAAAAATGCCAAGATCCTCTCTCCCTTGTATACAACAACCTATCAGCTGAGACAGCATCAGGGAGCCACTTCCCTGGAGGTTGAACTCTCAAAAAGCCCCGACAAGCTTATGAAATGCTTGTTGTATTCTCTATCGCATTCAGTTTTTTTTGGGGGGGTGGGGGGGGGTTGGTCACAATGCAAGGGTGCGCATAAAGACGTGCCGAGGTGCGGTGCCACAAACACTCACCGCACATCACTCCCAAAGCGAGGCTGAACAGAGCCATGTATCCAAAGTAAAACGAGGTTTGAAAAAAACCGTACATCCTGGAAAATGGAAAAGAAACATTCAACATTAAATATTAACAAGATGCCCGGTTGTACAATGCACGGGTATAAAACGCACGCGTATCTATATACACATCAAACATGTAAAAAAAGCAGTATTTTTACATTGTTTAAAAATCAATATCACTTTCAAATTACATGCAACTGTGGAAATGTATTTGAAGGTAATGTTCCAATTTTTCTGTTAGAACACCAGCAGATAACAACCTGTTCTCGTCAAAAAATATATATATAATTTTGGTTCCCTTTGCAGGTGATGGAACATTTTTTTAAACGACAAATATAAATTACTGGGAAGTAGCAGGAATGCAACAGCGCACCGTGTACGACTTTGTAGTGCATCCAGTGGCCATTAATTTCTCCAACCACCAAGTAAACTACACATACTCTGCGCATTACGCATACGGTACACAAAGCACACACACCTGTGTAGAATGACACTCAAAACATTCACAGCTGCTGCACTTAATGAATTTAAAATGTTCAAAATAGTACTGCAATATATATGCATTTACTGTGTATGTAACAAAACACCCGACCAGGTGAGGCTGTGGTTGCAGTGTTTGATTCGCTATTGCAAGGATACGAGATCAAATATCTTAGGGGTCGATAAGTCAAGATCACTTTATCCACGGTATGACTACGGTTTGTTTCCCACAGCCTGCCGCTCGAGAGAGGCATTTCTAATTTTCCCGACTGGTTCAAGGCTGCCCACGGAGTGCTGGCACATTGCTTGACTGTGGACTTGCAGAAGGTGTGCTGTAGGCATTCCAGCTGCACCACACATTTAAGAGTAACCTTGGAACGCTCCAAACGTACAGTTAGCGAAAAACATGTTGCGCCTCGCTATGAGGAATGAAAAAGCAAGATCTTAAATACAGAAATAGGATGCCACGGTGACGAGATGTTAACTACCTCGCCTGGTATACACGTGTTCATGGGTTCGATCCCGATCCCTGTATATTTGCAGTGTGCGTGTTCTCTCCCCGTGGTCGTGTGGATTTTTCTCCGAGTCCTCAAAATTTTTTCCCCTCCACATTTAGAGACATGCTTGAAGAGTATTTAGCTACGATACATTTCCACGTGATAAGCCACTTCGTTAAGCTTTCGATTATCGCCAGGTTGCTTCTCAAAAAGAGCTACACGGCTCGGTGGGCGGGCCGGGCCTTACCTCGTAAAATAGTTTGAAGATTTAGAAAACAACTTACTTTGTTTTAAAGAAGAAGTAGTAGATGGAGTACATGTACACATAGGCAGATGTGGAAGCAGCCGCCAGGAAACTGGTCCATTGCCTGTAGAAGCAAGGGCCACACAAACAACAACCTATATTCAGAGTACATCACCGATCCACAGATGGAAAGAGACTTGCGGCGCAGTACAAAGTGTGCTCATTTTCATGGACCGAGTTGAGAATGCCCGAGGAGGTTCACCCTTGAGACGTCGAGTTTATGAGGATGCTGCTCTCTCCGCAAGCCGTACATTCAACCTCAAACAATGTGATGTGAAAACCATGCAAAAAAGATTTAACTACACTTATTTGGCCAATCTTATTTGACAGACAACTATTACAGGTTTACCATGTTCAGTTGTTTTCTCCTTGTCACAGGTTGAGTCACAACCCGTACCTCTCCATAACAAAGGCTCACCCTCTTAAGCCTCACCTTACCATATGAATAAAAAGTGTGCCGTACTTGGCCCTTCCGCCCTCTCCAACCATTATATAAACGGAGTGGTAGCTCCTGCAATCTCTCATTTACTTGATACAGCTGTCGTGGCTGTGACGGTTCCACCTGAAGACGGAAGCTTGTGTTGCCTCCGAAACGTCGAGATTTTTATTTTATTTTACTTTCATTAATTTTAATGTTTTACCTACGTGACTTCACCGAAAAAACCTAAGAATATGGCTCCTAAATATCACCAATCTCTGGGCCATAATCAACTACGCACTTAAAACTACTGTTATTTGTAAGCTTGGATTTCAGGTTTAAAATTATACAGGTTACATTTTCTCACCATTAAATCCCAAATGTGCCATTGGCATGAAGGCAGAGAAGAGCATTAATCAATCATGGAGAGCTCCCCACCCCTACAGAGAGAAGGGTTTGTTTGGTGCTGCATTGGGGAATAACCCTGGAGGATGCCGCAGAATCACAGTCTCTTTTCAACATATGACAATGACAAGGTAATGTTTGTTTGGCTGTATAGATGAGCGGTCTGCTCCAAGGTAATCTGCTGATAGAAGCTTTAGGTGCTCATATTTCAGATAATACAAATGTACAAATATTAGAGCCAGTAGTTTGAATGCTGACCACACAGAATGATTAGCTCTGCTTTCACAACAAGCTTACATTAAGACATGACTGTCTCATGGGGGCTAGCGCTAGTTTTACAGCACCGAGGAGTGTGCACTGTCGAGCTACTGGCTTCGAATCCTCGAGATAAACGTGGGTTCACAGGAGTGCCGAGTTTGGTGGCTTCAGCCTGGGCAATGATAAACGAACAAAATAACAGAAATACATTTGATTCGCTGTTTAAATTATTCCAGACCAAATGTCTTAATAACAACATTGGTTCACGGCTATAGAGTGAACTGCACGTTCGCTCGGCTAAATAAGCAAAGCTTTGTAGCTGTGGTCAGGGAGGATTAATAGAGCTACAGCAGATATAGTCGTCGTGAGCTGTGCGGGGTCATTTCCCCATCGAGGGGCTGTGTGTGTAGGGGATTCCATGATGGATGACACCTTCCCTCTGTGCCTGCTCGACACCGAGGGCACTGCCGAGGGATAATTGGAAGGGAAAAAAACGGGGATTGTGGCTACAGCATTCAGTCACCCTGCAGCTTCATTCACCTGAATGGCACACATTTTACTCATTCCCATTGGGCGAATTCACCGAGATGTAAACATCTCATTTTGACATGGTTACATATTCCAGACGTTCACATTTTTTCCCATAAATGAATCACAATGGTAAATTATTCCTTGCAACTTAAAAATTGGCCAAATTTGGTCCCTAACGACAGCACCCAACGGCTGCGAAATGCAAATATGACTTTCATGCCCAAGTTGCTGTAGATGATAGATGTTGGAGATGAATCTCCATGCTCTTTAGACTCCGCACACAGCTGGCTCATTGGTGCGTGCACCGAGCACTACGCTGCGTGACCACTCCTTACACACATAGGCAACCCCACCACACAGAGGCTTATTACTACATATGCGTTTGTGAATAGAGATGTAAAACATTTCCTAATTTTTAAAAAAATAGAATGTTTAAACGCACTGCTAAAATAAACATGCAATCACCCATAAAACATGCACTACATAATATACTCCATTCATTCTTGATTTGAAGCTTTCGTGACTGCAGGAATCCACTCTTTGGTTCTTTCGGTAAAGTCACGTAGGTAGAAAACATGTCACAAATCACATCCTTTAGCAGGGGTTACCAAAAAAAAATTCCTAAATTTTTAACAAACACAAGATCCAGGTTCGTTTCAACACAGTACACAAAATCCGTGATTTGATCCCATCTGTAAAGGATGTGATTTCTGAGATGCAATACCCTGGTGTCTACAAACTAAGTTGTGGCTGCAGCAGCAGTTACATTGGGGAAACGAAACGACATGTCTCGGACCGTGTTCGCGAACACAAGGCAGATCTGAAACACGGTAGGACTCGTACCTCTGCCGTTGCTGATTATTGTTTTAACGCTGTGGGCTCATACGAAATAGATTTTTCCTAGACAAAGGTAGTCTGCAAACCCACCGGCTATCATCAGAGATTTGTTCATGAAGCCATCCAGATATATAAACACAGACACAACTTCAACTGAGAAGATGGGTACAAACTGAGCAATCATTGGAAGGACGTTATTCACCAAGTAAAGTCTTAACTGACTGATGTTTCCATCCTACCTGCCTATGTCAGCTGTTATTTCCGACTCTGTGTCTCTCTCTCTGTGTGTCTCCCTCTCATCATGTGTACCTCTTGCTCTGAGGGTGTTTTGTTCCTGTTGCCCGGCTCTCTGACATTGACACGCTAATCTTCTCGTTGGCACACCTCCGGTGGCTGAGCCGTCTCACATTGACATGCTAATCTCTCACATTTACACACAAATTCCTTCTCTAGCTCCACCCACTTACCCTTGGGTTAGGCCCATCAAAATCCTATATAAACTCTTGTTGCAGCAGCTCTTTCTCTTACGTCAGCAGTCCCACTGCTGTGTTTGTTTCACACCTGATGACGGTTGCTTGTGTTGCGATCGAAACGTCGTAATCTATTATATTTTTTCTACCTACGTGACTTTACCGAAAGAACCAAAGAGTATACTTCATTCATGCTCGCTTAAATTACGGTTATGAAAAGTGCTTTGGACATGACCAACACAAATATATCAAACTTGAAGATCCATTTCACTTATTTGAATACCTACTAACCATTGTCAAAACACATTACGCAGCCCTTTGCCATACCAGCGTAGGAGCGGAGATAATGCAACAAAAATCTATGTATACATGCAGATCAGCCAGTCTCTGAAGGCAGCGGAATGCCTCAACCTTTCTTCATACAGCAACTTAGTGCAAAACCATCGAGGTGAAGACCAACAGATGACAATATCTAACACCTCTTTTCCACTGGCACATCCGAGCTGTACCAGCACGGGGCCTTTAACGGTCTGGGTGGCTTTTCCACTGGCAATTTTCCAAAATAAGCCAGAAGAAAACCGTGCAATTTTGGCCTCAAAAGACATCTCAATCTGGCTTGGAGCCAAGCAGGGCCAGGGTTACATTTTTTTTTAGCATATATTGCATTAAAGGCACAGCTTGGCTTTTCCAGTTGAAAAAAAAAACATGGCGGCTTCCGAATTGCGTCGAGCCGGCCACCGATCACAACGACCCTGGCGCGGTTGTACAGCGGAAAGGGAGGTACAAGGTGTGGATTGTAGGACCGAGTCAAATGGTGATCACCGATGTCATGCGCTCCTAACCAGCGGTAGTCCTCGGCGTTGAGTAGGAAGTAGGTGCACACGATGGTGACGCACACCGTGACGATGCACAGGATGACGAGCACGAGCAGCATGAAGCCGTAGACGTAGTAGATCTTGTACGCCCAGAACGACGTGAAGATGAAGTACCTGTACGGGGAAAGAACGCAAAGTGGTGTGGGCCAGAGCGACCCCAGTGCAGCACAGGGTGCACGCACAACCGCTCGCTGACACCCGGATGCAATGCTACAAAAATAAAGATCCATGAGCTTTTCGACATATAACGCACAACACACAGCCATCACTCTGAATTCACAACGATGTCCTTGGGTAGGTGGTGGTCCAGACATTTTGGTTGTAAAAACTTAGAATTTGTTTTATATCAGTGACTACTCACCCATTCGCTGAAGAGTTGGCAAACCCTAAAAAAGTTTATTCACAACACAAAGCAAAAATTTGTAATTTTCTGCGAGGACTACGCTATCCGAGGACGCAATCTAAAGAAACATTTGCAAGTTCAAATGCGTGTCGGGCATTGACTCGACCCTATCATTCCTCCATGGTCAATTACATATCAGGATTACTCTGTGGAAATAATTGGTGATTGTCCAATAGAGAGAGAGGTCTGTGCTATGAAAATGTGGAATGTCTACCACTGGCTCAGGTCTATCAATCGAGAAGAGCACCACTTGAAGCTCCATGGTTTTGAGATAGTTTACGGTGTGATTGGAAGGATCATAGTGAGCGGACAAATCGACAGTGCCACAAAATATTTGCATACTCTGGTAGATCACTCTCGTGCTCGAGATATATATTAAAAAATCAACATATGAGCAGAATCAACAACATTTCATTCATGTGCGAGTGGGGAAAGCGGTGTGACACGGGAAGGTGGGTCGTTGTTGCAAGAGGGGCAGGGGTCAGCGGGAGGATGAGCATTTGCCACGATGTGCAAACAAGTCCGGCAACGTGCACGTTAAGTTTCCAGGACGCACTATCTACGGGCACGCTTTCAAGCCATAAATAATTCATGTTTTTCCACTGCTGGCTTTAATCTGGCAAACTTTACATCCCAGAGTGTTTCCTCACCGACTGCGTGCTTCTAATAACAAACGCGCTATCGGAACGTGTTAGCTAACATGAATAATCTACTCGATACGACCCAATGGAGAACACAATAAAACAGCCGGTTGAACTCGATGGCAGATCTTGCTCACTCTCTTGAGTGGCAGGCCATTGAGAAAAATCATAAAACAGTCGGTAGAATTCAGTGGCTGCACCTTTAATGAGCCAGGCGTCCCCTTGCCCGTTACACTTCGCACTCAAATGTCACCGCATACCGACGGCCGCCATTGTTGTCGAATCTAAATCGACATTGATATTTTCACCACTCAAACCAATGCAGGCCAATTTTCACCTCCAATGATAGAGGCCCCCCCATGGCAAGAGCCACTATTCTTAAGACAGTCACTGTTAAACTCTCACAAAGTGGTACTCACTTCATCAACCCCTGGAGGGTCCAAGAACCGAGCCAAAACCATAGAAAACAAAAGCATAACTGCCCGTCATAAACTTCTAAAGTTCGAGTCTCAAGACCGGTGCCAACGATGCGCGATTGAAAAACACAACACGTGCATACATTTTAAAATGCATGCCAATATATGAATGGCTAATGCAATATAATATTTTGGAATTAATGGATTTAGATGTAGTTTTGGGCCATTAAGACATTCATCAACAATGCTGAAATGAGTTGACACTTGGATGCGGTGACATCTTTAAAGAGAATATTGTTATGGATATGAAATTTAGAAGGTATTTACTTATTCACAAACAAACAACAACAACAGAGATCACATTTACAGAGATGCTCATAATATCGTTATGCAAACAGCGTTAAACAATGACGCCCGGGGCAGGCACATCGTAACAGAGTGCTCTCGTGAGAATCAATGGCTTTTCCCTGAGAAGGCAACAAATCAACAAACCCTTAGATGTCCTCACTGCCTGTGGAAAGCTGGCGCCTTCCTGCGCAAAGACAATCAGACGTGTGAACGACACTGTGCTTTGTTAGGGCCACGGCAGGAGGGCGAGCGGAAGAGTCGCTCTCCTCGACTTACTTTCAAAATGTTTGCTTTTTTTCCCCCCCCACCACCCCCCTTTTGACAAATCTTTATTACACGATGTGCCGACAGAGACGAAAATGTGTTTTTATGAGCCCTGTCAAAGACCGGCCCGGGCTCTCCGTATTAAAGTGTCCCCTGTAATGCAACTGCCAATTGATGGCTAGGTGCTGCCGGGAACGGCTAATTCGATTTTTAGAGGACCGATCCTGGTGATGGGTGAGGTTGGGGGGAGTTAAGAGTCCCAGAAGGCAAATTGGATCGTGTGTCTGCCTGGTGGCCAATGACAGTGCATGAAATCCACTTTAAATATTTGGTTTCAAACCAAATTGGGCCACTGGCAATCTCTGGGGGCTAAGGCTACATACAGTAGATGCGTATAATAATGTAAGCGCATAGACCATGTGTTTCCATTTGCAGAGCTTTAAGAGGCCTTTGCATGCAAGCACCGAATACAAAATGGGATCTTTTATGCCAGTATCAAAGTATGAAAAAATAGATTTTAGAAACCTTTTGCAAAGAAATCAAGTCTGCATTAACCACACGTACTTGTGGTGAACATGCCAGAAAGGGTAAAAAAACCTATTACTATTTTTTCATACGATACTGGAAAAAAGGTCCCGTTTTGTAGCTGCTCACTCCAAGCTAGAAATGCTCTGATAGTACATTGTCTTTGTACGTTTTGCCTTTTGGCGTTCGCTGGTCCGAGACTGGTGAGACTAGGCCTCAAAGAAGGATGTCCTCTGGTGTAGGTCAGCCAATCGGTTTTAAACAAGGCATATATTACTCTGGTCAACAAAAAAAAATTCTGGCCTGGACTTTTGCAGCTGTTTTAGACTAATTTCAGGGTGCCGATTCCAAATCTGATCTCAGATTTGCTCTATCACATTTCATTTCATGCTATCGGCATACCCCATTTTCATTGATTTTACCCGAAATTAACTCTGACACTTATGATTGCAAGTTGTTGCGAGTCAGTGACTGCTTTAGTGTTAAAATATGGTGCTGTATTTTTAGGATAGTGTGTTTATAATATCATTTTATGTAGATATCCACATTTATTTAATATTTTTCTTCTGCCGTTTTTATTGAAAACGCAATATTTGATAACTCAAAAAACTGATGTGATAGACAAAAACTGATGCCAGATTTGGAATCAGCACCCCAAAATTACCTTAGAACCGTTGGAATACCTTATGCTAGAAAAAGTGTGTTGACCAGTGTTATTAGAGCATATTTGTTTGCATGTTCACCACAAGCACGCGTGGTTAATGCAGACACGATTCCTTGCAAAAGGTTTCTATTTGGTGTTCGGACATCTTAACACCCGTTTTATTGCTAGAAAGGGTAAAACCTATTCTTATTTTTTAAAGCACCGAATACGTTTGCACATTTGCTGTTGTACATTTTTGGCGAATAAAAACAAATAAACTCGCAATTTATCCAGATTCCCTTTCAAAAGTGGTGTATCTCTATGAAAAGGCTAAGTAAAGATCTCCATTATTTGTATATATGAATGCACGCAGATCTAACCAGCTCTGTGGAGCTCGGTAAATTGAAGATTTAGAGCACAGATCTGTCAAGTGATCTCACCATCATCACGAGTCAATTAAAAGAGGACTACTTTGTGAAAAGTGAACACTCGTCCTACGGAGTGGACTGGACCCCACCATAGCCATGTGCAATATCCACCACTGGCTCTGTGCCATCGATGGAGGAAAAACACATCGACTATTAAACTCCCCAATTCTCTAGTGCAATAGGTCGCCACCTTGTGGCAGCTTCTGCGAAAAACAAACTGGGGAGAGCAACACGAGAAGAAGCAGCTTGGCACACTCTCCTCCATGGATGCTTCGAGCAAAGTCCCGACAGCTGCTGACATGGAGTTACCGCACTCTACTTGTTTGATGCCTAACTCACAACCCAGATTTTATTTCGATTTAAAGCTTTCATGACTGCAAGGATTCATCTTCTTGGTTCTTTCGGTAAAGTCACGTAGAAGGGAAGTAATAAAATAATAAAAATAAAACAAAATAAAATAATTCTCACGACGTTTCGGCCACAACGCAAGCAGCCGTCCTCAGGTGAAGAATGAAACACCACCAAGCTTGGAGCGTATATTTAAGCTGGGTTGGAGGGGGGGAGGTGGGAAGAAGAGTGCCTTGACAAAATAATTTGCATATCAAGAGGAATTTAGCATATGGAAAATGCATAGGAGGTGGGGGGGGGGGGGGTTTCAAATTAATATTATGCCCGTGCATTATGCAGGATTAGCAGCATCAAAGCATTTTCCATATGCTAAATTCCTCTTGATATGCAAATTATTTTGTCAAGGCGCTCTTCTTCCCACCTCCCCCCCTCCAACCCAGCTTAAATATACGCTCCAAGCTTGGTGGTGTTTCATTCTTCACCTGAGGACGGCTGCTTGCGTTGTGGCCGAAACGTCGTGAGAATTATTTTATTTTGTTTTATTATTTTATTACTTCCCTTCTATGTGACTTTACCGAAAGAACCAAGAAGATCACAACCCAGACTCGTGTTGAAAGAGGCTGTGGAAGAGATCTCCCCGCACATGCTTCTGGTGGTCTCTCCAACGGGGCACATTTGTCAAAACCACGACAAGGCACTTCTCTCGGCTGTACAGGTCAATGGCCTCTCCCCCCCTCCATACCCATCGCATAATACCGAAGCACAAGATGCGTTTTACAAAAGCCAGTTCCAAAATTGTGTTCGCACTTAGAGCAAGACATTGTAGAATGGTATGACTAAGGTTATTAGTTACTAGGCCGAGACCTTAAACCTTTAAGTTAAAGGATATAAGGCATATTATTGGTTCTTTTGGTAAAACCACGTAAAAGGGAAATAACAAAATACAAATATATCTATATTATTTTATTATTTCCCCGATAAAGTCACGTATAATAAATACATTTATATTACTTTATTATTTCCCTTCTACGTGACTTTACCGAAAGAACCCAGAATATGAATCCCTGCAGTCACGAAAGCTTTAAATCAAGATATAAGGCATCTTCCTGCTCCAAAAGATACTGGGGCAGTGCACACCTCCCCAAACCAAGCAGCCCCAAGGCAGTTGTAGATATTAATTCTAGATTTGAAGCTTTCGTGACCGCAAGGATTCATATTCTTAGGTTTCTTCGGTAAAGTCACGTAGGTAAAAAATAAAAATTAATAAAAGCAAAATAAAAATAAAATAAAAATCACGACGTTTCGGAGGCAACACAAGCTTCCGTCTTCAGGTGGAACCGTCACAGAACTGATGCTCCGAAACGTCGTGATTTTTATTTTATTTTTATTTTACTTTTATTAATTTAAAATTTTTACCTACGTGACTTTACCGAAAAAACTCAAGAATAATAGTTGTAGATATTCCAAATTCCCAATGGGCAGGGACCATTATCTCCATAGGATGACCACGTTTGTGCTTGCACGAAGTAGTATTTATTTTATCAGTCCCCGAGGAATAATACGTGTCAATCAATGGCAGTTTGCAAGCGGCTCGTGATTTGAAAGTTGGTAGTTCATATCCTGGGCTGGGGGTTGATTCAACCCATCGTCCCTCTGGGGATGATAAAATAAAATGAATACCACTTTGTAGGAAGTCAGCGGTGGAAGTCCTATGATTATAGACTGGCCCCCACCATAGGAATGAGGAATTTTCACCACTGGGTCAGGGCTGTAAACAGGACATAAGCACCGGCTCAATGTCCATTTGAGCAGGAAATCACTTTGACTTTTTGACAAGCAATGACCATAATTTGAACTCACCTACATACCCAATAAAGTTGAGCACTATTGCCACGCACATTCAATCCAGAATCTCAGATTCACCAGTTCAGCGGTGTCATCCGTGTAAAAAAAACATAAGCCCGTCGGGCCACCCACTCGCCTCACATGATAATCTGGAGAAACTCGACTAACAATGCAGCGCACATGAATAAGAAATGCGAAGGTTGCTGCTGATATAAAGGGAATAGGAAAGCAGGTGTGGCAACACTTACATCTCAATGAAGATCGAGCCGAAGGGAAGGATGCCTCCCAGACACACGATGACGGCAGGGCTCCATGAACCTGCGTTGCAGAAAAAGCACAAGCGATAGCCAGCGTTGAGACGCACAAACGCCGACAACCATCTCCTTCACCTTAAAAAACTATCCTAGCAACTATCACGTCCTCCGAATAGCATGGTATGCTATGTACGGTGCGCAAGAAGCTCAACATACATACATGTCAATGACAAATACATGGTTAGAATTTGAACATTTCAAACTTGCATTATTGGTTTTAAGGGGTTAATTGTCGCCTAGACTTCACATAAAATTAATAATGGGGTCATTTGAGGCGATGGGGGTGGAAGCACTGCGTCATGTAAAAGCTAGGCAAGCTGGCAATGATACTGTTTGTACGTGCGTACGTATTCAAAGCAAGTGCTGCTCGGTGGAATATTTGCTTATGGATCATCAGCCAGACTGAACACCTGTCTGGCCTTATTATACTTTGCTCAGACTCGGTTACATTGCGATCGCTTAAAATGGTTCAATAACTGACAGTGAGAGAGAGGACATAATCAGTGTAGTTGAAAATATCTTATAATCAGATCGTGGCACTGGTGATAATCACATCGCTACCATAATAGGGGGCATCAACACTCAGAGCATGAGATGAAGAGAGCAACATCAAAAACAGCACTACAATTGTGCTGTAATTACAGGTTTGACAATGTGACATGAAAAAAAAATTACCGTTCACCAATGGAGTACAAAAAAAAACACTTGTAAAACACACACTCGTGTGGAATTAATATCTGCTGCAGTGCTCACATATTGACTTCTTTAACTCGGACATATGTAGCTCGTGAGAAACAAAAAATGTCACTCAAATCCAGCACAAATATGCAAGAGGAAGTGTGTGCAAGAGCCTTGGACGCGCAGAGTCAAAGGCTAAGTACACCACGTCTTCTCACAGAATATGGCCAAGTATGTTTTCCACCTAACGCGGGAACTCGAGCTGCAGCCAGATAACAGTCATAATTCCCTGCTCAGATGGAGCTGCGCACACAGTCCAGCTTCTGGGCTCCAAACAGGTTCAACTAAAAAGTCTAAACGGCACAAGTATAGACCAAGCAATACACCGGCTGTGATGGGATTTTTCAATGTGATTAGAGCATGTGCATCACAGTGATGAGCTTGTGAATTCAAATTCTTAGGTTTTTTCAGTAAAGTCACGTAGGTAAAAAATTAAAATTAATAAAAGTAAAATAAAAATAAAATATAAATCACGACGTTTCGGAGGCAACACAAGCCTCCGTCTTCAGGTGGAACCGTCACAGCACGATAGCTGTATCAAGTAATCATTTTACTTTTAGTAATTTGAAATTTTTTACCTACGTGACTTTACCGAAAAAAACCTAAGAATATGACTCCTTGCAGTCACGAAAGCTTCAAATCTAGAATTGTGAATTCAAATTCAAGTGAGAGGTTGACTGTTAATCATCCCTCTGAAGTCCCATTTTGTTGGAAGTGAACAGCTGTTGTGCCTTCATAGAGACTGGCCCCCTCATAGGAGTTGTATCCCTTGTTCGAGACCACTAAAGAAGAGAAACATTTGAATGAAGGGTTGTTAAACGACAACCATTGTCAGAATCGAATTCCGGTTCCGAAAGTGAGAAACTGTCACCATTCTGAGTGGAAATTGAGTAAATTAATGCACCGATTGGCAAGTGCGAATGTAAAAACAGCATGGCAGCCCAAGTCCATTTGCCTTAATTTCTGAGTAAAAAGGTTAAAGATTGAAATTGCTTGCGTGCACCACTGCTCACAGAAGAGCCTTCACTTGAAGGGGCTCCAGTGGGTATTTTTTCTACTCTTTAACAATGACCAGACATTTTCAGCATACCCACACTTCACCCCACCACACGTCACCTGCTAACAGGTTTACACATTTATACTGCTGGGAGGGATTTAAGAAAACATATTCCATAAATTAATCTGCCATGCCGGGAGAACGAATTAAACCAGTGACCTCTGGATTGTAAGTCCAGTGTGCTAACCATTACATCACAGTGGCTCCCTTAGTTGCCAATTATTATACATGTTATATTTATCGCTTTAGACAATTCTCCGTGTGATTTTTTTTCTTCTCATTTGGTTACCGGTAATAGAAATTAATGGTTTTAACAATGTTAGCAAGGACACTTAAAAAACATTTGCTGGCTGCCAGCCCTCTTCATGTTGACACCACTGCATTGTTGCAATCCATCTCTCTTCTCCCGTGAGTGTTGCGATTTAATTAATGCACCTCATCTCTCGTTTCTTTGCCCGCTTTGGCTGTCAGCTGCTGTGATCCAATCACTTCCGCTATCCATCACCTATAATGCTTTCTCATGACAATATCCTGCCAAAATTCATTTGTTTTTATAGTGAATGGGATGTCAATCTTGTTGGCTCTCTGCGTGACTCTTCTTGTCCCCAAGGCAATCTGATCATTCATCTTCTACACTTCTTCGTGTGCTCTATAGTTTTTTTTTACACTAGTGTCACTGCCAGTCATCATGATGTCTCTGATCCTTAGCACCCCTGACATGAACTGTTGACAGGACAGCATTGCGCTTTTAAAGGCAGGAGTCAGTTTTACAAATCCGCCGTATGCTACGATCGTTGAAATAAATACTGCATCTTGCCTGCAGTGACAATATTTATTCAGAAGTTCTTCAAGATTAATTTCCTGCCATTACAAATGCTGTATATTCCTATAATTTAGAGCCAAACAAGTCAGTGTCTCCCTGTTCAAATGACCATTTGGCTAACTGATCAAAGTCTAGGTCGATGCAACACCACCTCGAATGAACCCAACCTCATCAGATGTCAGAATCCAGGGAGAGGGCTCAGCCGGTTTTAGTGCTGGAAGTAACCTTCCCAGTGCTGCAACAAACATGGAGGTTTACATGAATTATTTTGGTTGCCTTTTAAAGAATTTCCACCCGATCCATCCGAGCTCTCATTATGCAACAAGACCCAGATTTATCAACTCGTTTTGACAGCAACTGACAGTGGACAAAATGGATGCTGGAAACGTGATATCGCGAAGGGCGGAAGGACTTGCTCGCTGCACAATTCAAACCCGGCAATAGGAAGCGGTTAATGGGCCTCGCTGAGGAAGCGTTCGTTTATTTTCGCCCGCAATACTGGTGGACGCACGGACGGGTAAGGAGGCCGACCTCAGGAAAGGGCCTCACTCGCGCTGCACTTTTGCTCGAATCGTGGATATTCTTGGCTGTGGCATCGAGAGAAAATGTATTTAAAAAAATCTACTCATTCCAAAAAATATGCTGAGATTTGAGAAAAAAAAATGTTATGGCCTCAATTTCATGCAGGAGGAAGTGAACATTGTCTGAGAGTGAACAAAAAGTCCACTCCAGTGTTTGAATAACCTTTTCAAATGTACTTATTCACAGAAGAAAAAAAAAACCCATGTTTGTGTTAAACTCCTCTGCAAGCATTTATTTGACAAGCGCTATTTGCATTGTACAAGACCTGTGTCTCGTGTATTAAATGACCAGCACTTACATTTTTTTGTGCATGTTTGGTTATAACAAGCTCTGGCTACTGAATGGGGGAGCAGTGGCACAGTGGTGAGTGCACCGTGAACTGCACTATGAACCCAATTCAGTGCGTTCCAGGAATCAAACGGAGTTTTATTCCAAACCATGTGTTTTATTCCTGGCCATGACTAACATAAGCAGGGAGTCATACCCCAATCAGTCCTGGTTCCCCCATTCACCAACCTACAGGGACCAGTGCATTTAAGTAGCTGACTAACATAATTAAGTAACCACGATGGTCAGTGTGGGCTGAGTGAAATGTTGTGCTCTTCCCATGGAAGATTGGAAATATTAAAAAGCTAAACTGAAAAATGTAAACGAAAAAAATTAGCCCTTTACGAGTTATTTTTGCAGATTAATTTACCTTTTTAACCTGATTAAAACCCACTAAAATCCAACCTCTTTATTAAAGTTCCTAACACTTTATATATTGAATCTATTTTATTGACTTTTAAAATTGTAATGAACAACACGTTATTTGAATTAAAAGTGTATTGGAATCCTATTAATATTACTTTTTCTCAGCCACAATCACATCAAACAATGCCTCTGTCCCCAAGAACACAGAAAAAAAGACGGCAAATAACAATGCTAAAGTTCATGTTTCGCAACAAACCGCTGCTCACACTGGTCCTCGCATACCTGGGCCGTGAACCTCCGTTTTCATAAATGAGTTTCCTCAAATTTGATGCACATCACATGATCGCACATGAGTGCATCCTGCCTGGTTTCCAGCCACTTTCCTTTTCCTGTGCACTCCGGAGCAGGAATTCCTCATCGCTTACGAGGCAAAACACGGGCGCATTTTTACTGTCCGTGTGAGCGAGTTGAGCGTGTGAGAAATTCTGGCCGTCAGTTCAGTATATGCTCTCATTACGCTGTTACTCAATATCACTACGTTTTCTCCGTGATTCAATTTGCATTCATTCACTAATTATATCAGAACTTATCCGCAAAGACATTGAGGAAATTCCAGACAAGATAATATGCACAAAGCATGAGTTTCTAGTGTCCTATTGGGCAGATGTTTTAATGCGAGGCTCTTTTACTTCTGTGCTTAACACACATTGCACACAAAAAACACCAACTATACTATGCTCATTGGTTCTTTCGGTAAAGTCACGTAGGTACCGAAAGAACCAAAGAGTATGGATTCCTGCAGTCACGAAAGCTTAAAATCTAGAACCAACTATACTAATAAGTAACGCAAGAAAAAATAATTTGTTCATCTCATCTCTACAGCAGAGATAAAAATGAGCACTAGGGACTGTTTTGTGGAGGCTTGTGGCGCGCGTGTGGTGTTGCTTAGGTAATGACCAAGCTGCCTGTCCAATCTCTAGACCGAGGTTTTTTAAGATATCAAATAATAAGGAGAGCTTTGATTTACTATAACATGATCTACCGAACAGACTTGCATCTTGATTTGTCTGTATGGATGTATATTTTGCATCAGAGACTGAGGTCACTTTCATTCCAAAATTGAGCCGATGATTTGAACTGATCACCAACAATATGTTTTGATAAAACGAGTCAGAGCAACAGAAGAAAACTGCATTGGTAGAATGAGTGAAAGGTGAATTATCAGTGTGGCTGCTTTTTCTTGCCATTGCTGGAAAAAGGCCTCCCCTGTGCCTTTTGGGCATATGGGTTTGTTTGACCATACCTCACCATACTATTCAGTGTGATTGGTGACGGGGGGTGAAAGAACAGGTTTCAGGGGCGGTTCAGATTTCGTTCACTATTCATGTTAGCTGTGGCCAAGTATCAAACTCAAAGTTTCCAGGTTCATAGTGCAGTGCGCCAACCACTGCACCACCACTCAATCTCTCAGTTAGTTAATTAATTAAATTCTGCCAATAACTGTCCTTGGATTGAAAGAACAAAACCCCATTTCTGTGCACTTCCTCTACTGGCGAAGCAAACAGACATTGGCTTCGTGTTCAGAGCTATCCCATTTCCCTCTCAACAAGCTCAATCTGCAATTCCACGCATGCTTGTTTTGGAAGATTAGAGGGCCCGGCTTCGCAAAAAATTAATTGCACATTGTTTCCAAAACTCAGAACCTATGCCAAGGTTCCTAAACCAAATGTAATGCTGTTGCTATGTGGCATGAATACACAATGAATCTATCAGTTAAGTAATCCTCCCAAGATAAATTGACAATTTCTTTTTATTTCCCAAGAAGAGAATCCAATGAAATTGTCTTTGAAAAGGAGGCATGAGACATTATCATAACTATGCAATGTATTCTGTCCAATTAAATGTGGTCATGTCCTTATAATGGATTTGGGCTGTGACTGCACACGAGAACCTACTGTTACAAATGAGTATCTGAAATATTCGCTGAATAAATGTGGTATCACAATATTATTCTCCACGCATGGGGAATTTTAACACCGTGAATCAATGCTTATTTGCAGTTACTCATTCATATCCTCTCACACTAATATTACCCTTACAGCCTCGAACTTACGTTCACTCACTGACACTAAATCACTTAGCTTGCATTTCACTCAACCTACTAAACATCTGTCATTCACTCACACTCAGACGTACATGAAAAAAGACCCACCTCATTAAGCCATAGACTACATGGGCAAGTGCTTTTGGTGAACACTATAAAGTCCACCACGTTACACAAATGGGGAGATGCGGCCAGCGCAATGTAGCAAATTCTCATTTTTGCTGTTGATAATATATTTACATGGCACCAGGTGGTAATTTAAGGTAGCGTACACCTGATAATATGAATGTCCAAGAATCAAACCCAGATAAAAACTATTAAAACTAAACAAATCTTATTATACTGGGTAAGGCCATGGAGCGATACAGCTCTTTTTCAGAAGCACCGTAGCCACAAATGATAGCTCAATTAAGTGGCTTAGCGTGTGCAAATATTTCGCAGCCAAATACTCGAAATGTATGTTTCTAAATGTGGAGTGAAATACCGCCAGGACCCGGAGAAAAATCCACATGACCACAGGAAGAACATGCAAAGTCCAAATATACAGGCGTCAGGGTCGGGATTGAATCCACGACCTCCTGCATACCAAGCGAGGTAGTCAACGTCTTGCCACCGTAGAGATCCATTGGATCGTAGTGCAGTAAGCAAAACCCCGCAGGCATCACTTTCCCGCCCACCACACACATTCTCCGGCTTACCTCACTTGCTCACATATTTATTCAACCACACTGTTAATCACTTCACCAACACCACTGCTCACTCACACTGTTGTTTACCCACTCTCTCAACTTACCACTTCTTCTCAGGGATGGGCCTTGGCACCGCGTTCACACGGCACGGGAAGTTGGGCTGCCCCGAGAGGTTCCTGCCCAAGATGGTCCCCACCAGGTTCAGAGGCAAGATCACAAAGAAGCATATGCACGCCACCGCCACCTGCCAGCCAGGAAAACAATAGCATGTCAATTCACAATCAACCAATCAACAAACCCGTCACGCAAATCGATAAATCCATCAGTGTTCATGGGCGCCTTGGGATCCCTGTAGTAAAGACACTTACCTCTGGGCCACACTTCAAGTTCAATCCTCCCCTTAATCCCCACGTGTCCATGTAGAATTACTAAACGTTTATGTTGCAAAGGGGATCGAGTCTAAATGCCCACTGACGAGTGGGAAACAATACTTGTCACAACAAGGCTAGTGCAATGAGCGCAGGGCACTAGCATTCACAAGTAAACACACAAACATCCCACTGACGGAGTGCACTTGCGCAAACATTTAAAATCTATAACTAATGCCGTTTGTATTCATGCAGCGAATACCACAGACTGCGAAAATGCCACCTCACTAGATAGCATCGCAGTTGAAGTTGGATAGTTGTACACCCCCTTGGGAGAAGTTCATGTGAGCTTATATCCACTGAGCTACATAGCTCCATTTCAGAAGCGACTTGGCCACAAATGATAGCTCAACGAAGTGGCTTATGTGGAAATTAGTAGCCGCCAAATACTCAATGTGGAGGCAATAACCGGGGGACCTGGAGAAAAATCCACGCGACCATAGGGAGAACCATGCACACTCCAAATACAGTATACAGGTGTCAGGGTCAGGATCGAACCCACGACCTCCTGCATACCAGGCGAGGTAGTTTATATCTCGCCACCGTGGCGCCCCCAAAAGTCATGGATATCCCATTTACATAGGGGATGGAAAGTCTCAAAGGGTTTTCTTAACATAAGTTATAACCAGGGTGCACTAGGAAGGCCTTCCACCCCCTCTAGTGGAGGAGCCCAGTCAAATATGGGCAGAAGGTTGGGAAAATATGGCCATGACAAATTACCCAATGACCAACTCGTGAAATTAACATCACTGAATATGTACACAATAGCTTTAAGTGTGCGGATAGGTTTTATTCAAAGCATGTCTACACGTTAACTTAATTACGGGATAAATATGGTGGGAATAACAGAGGGGGCTCGGTAAAAAAAATGCAGTGACACACACGCCACAAGCCTCCACAAAGAACAATTAATCGGATTTTGAACATCGATTGCCTGGCGAACAAAGTAACAGCCTGACAGCAGTTCATGCAGGTTACATTATGATAGATTGCACTGCAAAATGAAAACTACAATAGTTTAATATGCAAGGGCATAGCCAAAAACACTGTGTGCGAGTCATGGTGGCGTGTATGATGCAGTAGATGTGTGTCAGTGTATGGTGTGTACATCTGTGCTGCGTGTAGGTCCAAGTAAGGCGTCAGAGTTTGGGGTGTGTCAGTGTAGGATTGGTGTATCTGGGTGCAGGGAGCGGTAGCGGTTGGGGCGCTGCGCTACGAACCAGAGTTTGCTTCCCACCTACGGCCACCATCAGTGACGATTATCCGAACCGGTCCTGGGTCTCCTCTTGGTCGACTCTGCCTAAAATTAATACCTGGTGTGATGTATAAACATCACCACTAGGGAGACAAAGGCGGCCGGGAGTGGTGCTGGCCACCCACCCCCTCGTGTGCTGTGGAGGCCTTCATAGATGCTCGCTAACAGCACTAATGCTACAGAGCATTCAGCTGCTTATTTTTCTGTTGAGTCCAAGCATGAGGAATACAGCACGATTTGGATTTATATAGCATTTAAATGTGACCGCATCTCAAGATGCTGTGGAATGTGTCATTGGCTGCAATAAAGAAAACTTCTCCCACCAATCATCAGTTATGGGCAGAAGGGAAACTCTTATCCACTGCCCACATCATAAGGTACAACGGCAGTTCTGTGTACCTCCAGCGCCGTTAACCTGAACGGTGAACCGATTGACTGTCAGGCTGCATCGATATAAGTCCTACCATTTCGCTCAAGAAGTTGACAATAAAGTTCAACACTGCTAAAGCCCTGTCAACTTGTTGCCAACGCCTCGTAGAGTCACAATCAGGTTGCTTGCAACTCAACATTGGAGAATGCAACTACTCCTCAACTTAAAAAGTGATATTGCCTTGAAGTCAACCCGCTTGCAAAAATCATTACGCGTTGTGCCCCTCCGCCATCTCGAAGCTCACCATGGTGCCGAATGGTATCGCTCGAGACGCATGGTAGTAGATGGCAATGAAGTTGATGAAGAAGGCGGTTCCGCACACCATGGCCGGGATGAGGAACGCGCTGACAAACATCTGCTTTATCCACTTGCGTCCTGCAACATCACAAGGATGGGAGCGTGTTAGATGTATTCATCGGCCTGGAAACAATCCTCCCATGTTCACACCACTGCATAGAGCCAGCAATGCTGAGATCCTGGATAAGACTCCTGGGCACACAACCAAGATTAAAGCTGGTATAAGGCTATATGAAACGACGCGAAGTGACATTTCCCATGAATATTAATTTAAATGTCCACAACAGAATTCAGCTTGGAGAGCACCCAAAATGAGGTCCTCAGGTTAAGCAGATACACCATTCTTTCAAACCAGCTGGACCCATCTCTGTGTACAATCTGCTCTCTTATGTGTCAGTTTCATCCAGGCAGTCCAGTTACTTTTCCCCAGGTGTAAAATACTTTTTAAAAAAAGGTCAGGTATTCCAATTTAGAACGTCTTAAAATGTGTTTATGCTCAGTTAGACTTTGCTAAATCAATTACATTATTATTTAAATTCCAGCCAAGATCAAATCGGCATCAGAGCAATTCCAGGAATGTTAACTCAAGGACCATAACAGCAAATGCTTGCTGTGAAGTTTACAGCCGTTGTCCCATCTAGAATAATGTGGTCGTATGAATATATTGCTTGCTGCTGCGAAAATTTAAAATCTATTATAACCGAATCAGGACCACCAATAGAGATTAACCACCATCCTACACCCATTTGAATGTGTAGATACCGGCAAGTATATCATTTTAAGCGGTACAATTAAATAAAGCAAATCAACTTGTCACACATTTATAAGTATGGAAGTTTGTCAAGACACTCACCAATGACTGCACAAAAATCCCTGCGGTATAAATTAGTTTTTTCAACATGTAATATATCCTAACCCAGACGAGGCCTAAATTGGTGTAAAATACAAACATGAATATTGCGTGATAAGAAACCCCACAGCATGAAGGCATACCTTCATTGTAGTGTTGACAAAATGACAGCTAATGAAGGCACTAAAATAAAATAAAATATCCTTGGGTTTTTTAATGGAGAATTAAAGAAGAAGAAACTTCACTTCGTGTCTACACAAATAGTGCAATTGTTATCGAAGAACATGCCTCACTGCTCAACGTATGAATGCTAAATTTCTTTCGCACCGTACGTAGTCAACCGTGATAATCAGTGGTGCGAGGTGGGGAACATCGTGGCAACGCTCATCTCTATTGGCAGCCTTGAGCCAGTGGTGAAAGTTACTAATTTTATCTAACACGAAAAGTTTCGCGACCGAAGTTATTCATAATACAGGTTTTTGGGTTAGATCACGTACGTATACATTTATACTTACGCGATATACATTTATACTTATATGAGATTGAACCCAAAAACCTGTATTACCAATAATTGTATTTGCTCTGCAGGTTGATGGAATGAGATGACTATCAACTGGATGACCTCACAGGCCTTCGAATGCCAGTTAAGTGTTCCAAGCACAAGGTGTCCCTGGTGGGCTTACACCAGGCATAAAACATTAAAAATATATATTACACGAAATTGCAAATAAAATAAATAGTACAACCACTGGATCGAGTGGTTAAACTGAAGCATTGAATTGTTTCGGTCAAATACACTGCCTCTGTATTTTGCAGTCAATTCATAGGAAAAAATAAACCACGGACTTTGCATCAATGCATTGACCAAGAAAAATAAGTTTCTGGTGTATTTAAATACACATTCTTAATATCAGCTCGAGCGATAAAAGAAAATATCCAATAATAAACAATATACAAATGCTATTGCATGTTTTAACCACTGGAAACATTTAAATAACATTTGCATACAGACGTTGGGATTTGAATTCTGGATTTTTTTTTCCCGATATTCTTTAAATGACCTGAGTGCATCCGTACTCTGTTATCGTCAGCCCGCACAATTCCCACACGCCCTATTCCGCCCTGGACAATCCTATCTCCGGCTCAGATCCACGTCCATTGTTAGAGAACCTCACACGCGAGGCGTCAGATGCAACGGGCTCTGTAGCGGTTCTGGAAATTATGGGGGTCTTGGGAATACAATCATCTTGTCCTTTAAATGCGGAGTGAAAGGTTATGTAGCAGTGGAAATAAGAGACTGAAATTAGCTTTCATTAAAGCTCTGCTGAATGGCGAGGATGCAAATGTAAGGGCCGATAACAATATTGAGAGATTCCGAATCATGGATTGTTTTTGTTCTCTGCGATTGTTGAGTGGGGTTCAACTTGAAGATTACTGCTGTGCTGGCGATGCTCTTCCCATTTTACACAACGGGACACAGAGCCAACTTCAATGGACCGTTTACGCAAAGACTAGTTAAAAAGTAACAAGACACTTGTAAATGCGATTTGCCTTTTAAGTAAAACAAATATATCAAGCCGTCACACTTAAACACATTAATTTTAAATAAGGATTTTTTTTAATATAATTTCAATGACAAAAGTTATCTAGTCACAAAAAACAATACATCTCCAGAACACGGACTGAATTTGCGATCACTATGCATTTACAGATCTATATGCACTTAACACAGCGCACACAACTATTTAAAAGCTGAAACTTCAGCTCTGCCTCATACAGAGGAAACACAGTACCCATGCCTCAATTTTACTGAAACTCAGGTCGCCTCGATTCGAGATTCAAGTCAATGACAGCATTTTATTTCATAAGTGCCGCTGCCCTCCTGATTAAATTCTTTATCTACTTGAGCTGTTATATTCACGTCGCCTGTTTAACAAAAATCAAAGTGATTCTATGCTGACAGTGGTGCACATTCATAAACAACCAAAAACACGCATCCACCGATGTCACTGTTCCAAAAGGAAAAGTATAGAACAGGTAATGCCATGAGAAACGTCTTCTCTATGTACTGTGAACAACCAAAAACACGCATCCACCGATGTCACTGTTCCAAAAGGAAAAGTATAGAACAGGTAATTGCCATGAGAAATGTCTTCTCTATGTGCTGTGAGCAACAGCTATTGCCAAATGTCACCCGTTATACTTTTCTGCTTGGGCAGTATTATGTGTTTGGATCAACTTGGCACCAAAGCACCATGTCTTGCGCTTAAAAACACACTATATACTCTTAGGTTTTGTCGGTAAAGTCACGTAGGTAAAAATAAATGATAAAAATTATAATAGAAATAAATATTTTTCTATCATCATTTTTATTATTTTCTATTATCATTTGTACCGTTTTTATTATTTACTTTTATTTTTACCTACGTGACTTTACCGAAAAAACCTAAGAGTACGAATCCTTGCAGTCACGAAAGCTTCAAATCTAGAATTAACACACGCTATAACATTATTTTACCAGGTAAGGCCCACTGAGCAACATACGGCTCTTTTTCAGAAGCGACCTGGGAACAAATGATAGAGTTCAACAAGAGTGGCTTATGTGGAAATGTATAGCAGCCAAAAAGACTCTAAACACGTGCTTATTGAAGTGCGTTTACCTCCCTGCCTTGAGTAGAGGCTCCCTCCAAAGTATCCGTTCACGGGGGAGGTGGCGGCATAAACAAAGATGGCCGTGCTGAGCATGGAGCCTCGCCTGCCGAACAAAAAAAAAGTCACCCTCAGCAGCACGAATCACACCGCGCGCTAAAGCAATTATACATGGACACGATGGGTGTGACGCAAGCTCAAGGTGCATGTATCAAATTGCACGTGTAAGAATGGACATTTTTTTATTTCTATGTCACATGTGATGTGGCAGTGTTAATAATGGCTCTGTTGAGTGAGTGACTGAACTATAATGTTAAGTTTAAAAAAATTATCATTCAGATAAATAGATTACAATTTGTCTTGCAAGAGACAGTGGAAACAAAGGATCTATGCCAGTGGCTAGATTCTTTGAAAGGGAGGTGGCTGGGATGCTCAAAAGGCCAAGCCTAAAGCTCATAGTGCAGCAAAACAGCAACACCAACGAGATGGCAATCTGGTTGGGCAGAGCAGCACTTAAGAGCGCCTGACATTTGAAAGGTCGTGCGTTAAAATCCTAGCAGGCAGTCAACTCAGTGCAACATCCTCCAGGGTTATTAAAATACGTAGCACTTTTTGAGAAGACCAAAATGAATGTTCCATGGGAGAAATGGGCCACGACAAAACTGTGAACTTTCCACAACTGGCCTTAGGGCTGCCAATGAACAGGACCACCATCCCACGTTCGATGGCTTGCGAGTCTAAACTAATAGTGGCCTCTACGGATACAGATGGCCAAGTAATGGCCAAGTGAGAGAAAGTAGGGGGAAGGTGAAGGTTGCTTTTCCCCATGGTTACAAGAGCAGTTGCATGCTCACCAGACGCATGCTGGGGCTTGAGCCAAAATTAAGTAGAGCCAGGCTGAGTTGTGTCTGCTTGGATCCCATCATCTCTGCCAGCCCCACTCCACCCCTACTATATGCGTGCCACCTACACCCGAAGTTTTATTCTAATAGGATGCCCCTACACTGTGTAAGAATCTAAGCCAAGTCGAAGGGAGGTCGAAGTTGGGGAGCGATGTGAACTAATTATTTTTTATAAGAAAGCTTCAAACGCATGTGGACAGATGCCAACATAGCCTTGCTAACATTTACAAGTTCAGGGTTTTCTTTGCTTTTTTGGTTGGCTTTCACCAAGGACATCAATCACTGAACATGTACAGCCCATGCTTCAACCCAATGATGATAGAGGCCCTCCCTACACGATGTGGGTTGTGGGAGTAATTCAACCATATTTCACCAATGGTCAATGCATGAAGGTGAAGATGTGAGGAGCATAAACAAACCATAGTCGAGCACAGTGATTAATTCTATTCACTGCCCACAACATAGCCCTGCAGCAGCCTACAACACCAGGTGTATGCATTGCAGTGATTCTCCCCATCCAAACATTAAGGCTCAGGCCTGCTCAATCTCCCGAAACCTTGACGATATCAGGTGCACTGGGCGAGTGATTTGGTCATCGTCAATGAGCCCTCGGCCGTGATCTGCAAGCACTCACTCGGTGTAGAGGTCTCCGAAGATAGCCACGACGATGACTATGAGGGAGACGAAGAAGACTTGCGAGCCGGAGCCGATGAGTGCCGTGAACATGACGGGGTTGGTGGCAGGGCGGAACACGTCTCCGTGCACCTGCTTCCATCCGTACTCGTCGCCCAGGTCCCGCTCCTGCCACGCAGTGGGTCACAAGTACGCAAATGCGCACGCACGGGTCCCCACGTTACTTAACGTAGCAACAGCAGCAGCGTGGGCGTTACATCGAGTGGTAAGGCGGCTCTGTCAGGGGCACCGAGTGCAACATTACAGCCAGCACGACTGCAATCCTGGACGTGGTTACTATGCCCAAATCTAACGTATTTTCGTTTTGGCTCACTTACCAAAGACTGCCTAGTACAAAGAGAAGCAGAAGGAGTCTACCTCCAACATTCAAAGTTGTTCCCAACAAGTTTCGACTGCCACGGTTGTGGTGCACACTACCTATGCAGGTTGTATCCTACTCGGCGTACCGAGTGCCACTGGTATTATAAAAAAGCACACCCTGCAGGCACCTGAGGACGGCTATTAAGATAATAGGCCGTGACATTCCCTGACTAGCTGCACATTTGTGCAGTTTTCCCCGAATTCAAAGCTGAATTATTCTCCGCTCTTCTATTGTATGAGACGGATATTACATGAGTTGTCTTGGGCTGAGAGTCTAAGTATGAAGAATCGCTGATGAGAAAAGTAGACTTTTAAATTAATCTCCATTGATCTCACTGCATTGACATGAAATGAAAAACCACAGGAGTGAGGTCACGCAAGTATCAGCGTCAAACTCATGTCAGGCAGTTTGGAAAACATAGCACTAATGAAAAACCATCACAGCAAAAAGCTGTTATCTGGCATCCATTGGGAGAGCAGAGTGCCGGTTAGTCAGATATATACACACACACTTATAGTTCACCAAATTTTCGAAGTTCATAAAACTTTTCAATAAATAAACTAAGCCTATGTTCGAGCTAAAATGAGAAACGTACTCTTTTACAGAAGTACTCACCAGTAGGTGTTAGAGAAATCGAAGTTAATTGTAGAGAAGCAGTGGGGCCATTTCGAGTACGGTATACAGTCGTACAGTACCGTATGAACAGACTTCGGCCAGCGCCACCACTTGGCAGTATCCGGATGCCGGATGGCTGGTGAAAATTTTCCAGATACGCAATGGAAGATTTGTATTGCTGCCGATGGCAGAAGACAGCTAAGAGCATTCTGGATGGTAAAGTGCCGGATGACAAAGTTTTTTTCTCTATTAGTTTTATTGGGTTTGCCTTTCTTTAAACCACTGAAAAGAGGGCTTTGTAGATCAATGCATTCAAACAGATGCATGCCCGTGACTGGATGAGTCAGACACTTTACCTCAGCACCTGATAAATGATGAAAAGGAGTGCTATGTTCTTGCCCTCTGAGCACCAGTCAATAATTCAAAACTCAAATGAAGCATGCATGAATCTGCTTCATTGACCATTCGTTATTAATGTCGAACGCCATGAATTCCTCCCCTTCGTGACACTAACGGCAACAACTCGACTGCACACACCATCCCGTTACTGTCACTCAAGAGTGTCTCTTAACGAACAGCAGTTCAGCCGTCATGTGATCAAATCACTGCTGCACAGTGTGATCATTCAGTGGAACACAAAGCACACACATGGCTGCATTCACATCGAATGCATTCAAGACAGCCAGTTGATACTTTTGTAACGCTAACCAACTCACAATTGGAAGGTTGCCACATTTAAATCTTGGGAAAGCATCCAATCACTGCATCTTCCCTTCATTAGTACAACACTGTGATAAGTCAACAGTGACCATCCAATGAGGGAAATGGTCCCTGCCATGGGAACGGTGGATTTCAACCAGGAGGGCAAAAAGGCACCAAAGGAGATGAGCACCGTCCCAAATAAACAACTGAGTGGAAATGGCTTTGATCTGCCTGCGTTCAAGAGTTCAATGCAATGGTTAAATCAAACGATCATTGGCTGCCTGCGACAGTCAAACTCCCAAGACCATTGCCACTGCTTTTCCTTGGACAGCTTTAATTAATTGCCCTCTGGTGGTAAGAGACTGTTATTGAAAAGCCCAGGCAATAGATGATCCCTGCAGTCGTTCATAAAACCTGGCGGCAGCTTTAATATCACAATACAATATATACTGCATCCCATCCTATAAACAATCGCGTTAAAAAAAGTGTGCCTGTGTTTTACAGTCGTTTGCAATAAATAAGCAACACTGAAAGCGGCAGCCAATGGTCTGGTTTAGTGCCGTGGGACTTTTCTTCGAAGGCGAGTGGCTGTCCTCAAGGGGCCTGCTGACATTCATGCCCAAGGCTTTAAATGTTCTCCTTATTTAATGTTTAAAGCATTTTTCTCCATAATGTAATTCACAATGTTACTCAAATTGTTGTTTCGATGCCACATCGTGAGTTGAAGATATATCCCATAGGAACTATCATAGAACAGTGAAATATCCAGAATTAGAGAATGACCCAAGATGGGTTATTACGAAGATAATTCAGAGATCACTTCGAGAGAAAATATATCCACACTAGGGGCACACTCCCACATGCATGGCAGTCAGACCAGTTATGAATTATTATTTTTTATTCTCAAGAGATCTTTTTGTTAAAAAATTCAGTGAAAACCCAAATGTAATAATGGTTTAACACGCAATAATTTGTGATGTAAGTTTAACTCCCAGCATAAACTCTCAGTCGAAGCGATTTCCTACCCAAATGGCCATTGAGGCAGTGCACATGTACTATTTACGGCAGGGGGCGAGTATATCCAGAGCGCCACTGCAGAATTTCTCACGTTAATTTTAGATTTTAATGACCCCAAAAAGGGATTAAGGGCAAAATCAACTCCCAAACAAGATTTGAACTCACGACCTTCCGATAGAGAGCTCAAATCTTCATGCATTGCGTAGCTGTCTGCAGTAACGTACACATAAATGACTTCATATCTTCAAATGTGGTCTCATTATAACCGATACGACTGCCTAAAATGTCTTAAGACTATTCAATTGGTTGGATGACCTTAAAAAAAATCACTAAATGCTTCATAAAATCCCTAATGGGCTGAAAGATTGTTAAGGTTATATATGTATCTGTGCTGGGGAAAATGAACATTTGAAGCGCGTGCACAAAAAAATCATTGAAGGACCCCCCACAATTCTAAGTTACTGCAGCCACCTGAGATTAAAGCAAAAACTCCGCACATTCATCATTTACACTGCCTCAAAAAGGAAAATAAAATATATAATGAGTGATGTTGTGGGCATTGGCCCTTCTTCATAGCAAATGAGTTTTTTTTTATTATTTTACCGTGTCAGCCAGGTTACTAATGAAATAGCATTGCTTTGCACTTATTATCACAGTACTTATTATACAACCTTTTATTCAAATAAGCCTTCACCGAGTCGTGAGACTCTGTCTCAGCAGGGACATGCTCAGAATGTCTCACCAATACATTTCACTATTTGCATACCAATGTATTATTTGCAACATCTGCAGAGGCAAGCAGCCTAATTGCTGTACCACCACATAGTCGTGTGGGGTGGTTATCATGCACCTGATCTCCACACGAGCTGCCAACCGTTCCTCAAAACGGCTTGGTGCAGAGGCATGTGTTGCTACAAAAGAAGGCCCCTCAGGGCCACCACTCTCCTCTCGTTAATTCAGAGGGCATGGAGATGCCATTCTTTGCTCTGCGATGGATAAACAGTGTTACGCCAATTGAAGTTCATTCGATCAATATTGGCTTTCGAGGAGCTCTTTATGTGTTTTTTTTGCACAAAGCCAGCTGCACGGACAAATACATTATGCAGTTTCAGCTTAATGTCGCATTTCATTTGCAGAATATTTACATTTGCTCCCAAGAGGGTTAATGCAACACATCTCCTTAAATCCACCGTGCACAGTTCTGTACTTTGTGCAGCTGTGGTCTAACAAGGAGAGAAACACTGGCTCTGCATTAATTATTTTAAAATTCAACACCATTTGTTGCGAGCACAGCACAATTGGACGAAGTAAGTCAACCAGAATCATTGCCTTTAGGCCAAACAACGAAATTCAGAAATGTGGTCTAACCAGCTTTTGCGCAACATCGCTGCATTCTTAAAAAATGCTTTTTTTCACACATCATTAAAATGCTGTTTCATCAGAAAAGCCGGGCAAATGTCACCCTTTAAATGGAGGTACAACATTTATCGTTGACGCCTCTGGGTAAATGCTGCACCATCAACTCTGTGATCCCACAGACAATCATGTTTAGCGCTGCTTTAAAATCAATTCCTGGCCAAGGTGCACATACATTGGGAGCCAGATAAAAGCACTGCAGCAACAGTTACGTTACCTGTACACTAGAGGGCATTGCTCATAGAGGTAACACCACAATAAGACCGGCAGTCTCAGCAGTTCGAGCCTCACTGGAGAAACACGAGCCCTTCCACGTGCCTGGGTGACACTGCCGAAGCGCATGCAGGTAAGAATTACATCCCTTTCCAATGTTGTGTCACGCGCATTATACGCGTGACACAGCGTGCATTATAACCAACAAGCATGGAGCATCACCACCGCAGAGGGAACTTGAGCAACGCTGCTGTTCACAAAAATAATTGTGGAAAACGACTGATAAAGAAAAAGCTGCCAATGGGAATAAGAAATGCTCATCAACTACAACTAAATTGATAAAATTTGCATGTAAAATGGCAATGGTTCACACAAGTGCCAATCTAATAAGCGAAAAAAACCTAAAAGGATACCTCCGGTATGTTTATAAGCATGGTGCGAAAGAAGTTCAATAACGTACAACATACATACACAAGAGTGTGCCTAACTGCACAATCGCCGTACACACAGCAATACAATTAATTCCATTACCTCTAACAGGAGCCTTGGAGCACATGCACCAAATAATAACAGAGCGAGCCGAGAATAAATGGTCAATGAGGCCGAATCATGTGATTGTGAGTGTTCCCATTAGTCGAATTTTTTTTGCAAAGATATGGCGATGTCTACCATGAATGCCAATCAACATGATCTCTCAGACGTTTCGGTTCGATGGGAACCCAGCTCAATTTCTTTACTGTGCGAGATAATTTGTTACCAATATAGCAACAATTGGCTTGACATAGCGATGGATGTACTTTATCTATTATTTCTAATACGTAGACGGGCGAGTGATTCTGTGGTTTAGAGCAAGTGGGTAACATTTAGAAAGCTGCCAGTTAAAACACTGGTCGAAGGGTAGACCAAGACCATCTCTCCAAGGTTGATTGAGTATCACGTTGTGGGAAGGCAAGTTCTTTTCTTAAGGATATTAACTTGCACATCTCAAAGTAATGTGAAGTTTCTGTAACTGGCTCAGGGCTCATTCAAGTGTGAAAGTGCATTGACCATTTATAAAATTCTACAAAGCACATTTAACATTCTTGGGAGTTAATGTTCATGCATTCGGCCAACTAATGCACGAACGTTAACATGGTTACATTTTAACAAATTTAAGACGGGTGGATGAAGGGCAACTTGACAATTATTAGGATTTGTTCTTAATGCCCGCCGAGTATCATGTTTCAGTCAGGTCGGCTGCACTACCATTGGTAACCAATATATAAACGTCACCCTTGTGCAAACATACAACATGTCAACACATGCTGTACAATCATTGTCTTAGAAGAGCAAATTGTTAAGCATGTTGTGTGCATCACTATCAGTTGGTATAAACAATGGCATCGTTTACGGAGGACAGCATATATTTAGAATTATCCATAGAGGTAATCGGGTTAGATCGCATATATATGAGCGTTGTTAAACCCGCCACCACCTGACACAACCAATGAGTAAGGTTTGTCAAGTAAACGAAACATGCCAATTCGTTACTAGTTCAGCACACCGGTGTGTTGGAGAGTAAACCCACAATATTTACAATTTGAGTACAATGTTTTGCCAGTAACTACAAATAGCATCATCATGATGCATCATGATGCTAGTTCAGCACACCGGTGTGCTGAACTAGCATCATGAACGAGTAAGGAATTGGAATGTTTTACTTATGTGACAAACCTTACTAAATGGCTGTGACGGATGGTGACAGTTTTAACGACATATTTATATTTCCACAATATAACCCGAAAACCTCTTATGGATATTGGTCACGAAAGCCTACGTGTTAAACCGATATGGAATTAATAGTAACATGGTTATATCTTTAAGCGACTCAATTTGTGTGCCCATTTGTATGGAAAGCTTCACTGAGACTCAAACACTTTTTTTGGTGGGTCTGCATTGAACATTTATGAAAATGTGAACTCATTTCAAGGCGTATTTTGAGACTGGGAGTAAAGGATACTGCATACCTAAAGACAAACATGTCTGAGAGGATGAGTCAATGGTCTGCAATAGTGGGTGCATGAACCCACTCCAGTAACACCACCTCCTGGCCACCCCTCAGCCGTGCGGAGTATAGAGTTAAGTCTGTATGATCCGTTAACTCTTGCCGACAAAGCAGTACTTATAACCCAATGCCCAGCAATAATAATTTTCTTAACCAGTCCAGAGAGCGGAATGATCCTCACCATGTCGTCAATCTCCTCCTCTTTGCTGTAGCGAGCATAGTCTTTCCTGAGCGTGCGCATGAGGATCATGGACACCAGCCCCACCAGGAAAATCACCATCATGAACGAGTTGAAGATGGAAAACCAGTGAATCTGTGAAAGGACAAGGGGCACAAGCGAAGGGGGGGGGGGGGGGGGGTGAGCAACGGGTTAAGATGACGTATTAAACTGGAAAGATCTTGTAGCTCATTAAAGGTGGTTTCTGTGAATCACAAGCCTTGACCGCACGGGATAGTGTCTTTGCAATTAAGATTGCTAGAGCTGACAATAGCAAGGGAAAATTAATTGACAATTTAAAAGACTGAAATTACAGATGGAGAGTAATATGCAGCAGCATTCGAAATACCACAAGAATCAATAACAATACAATGCTACACCCATTACATAACGTATAGAATTCAATTATACGTGAAGCGTTCATAAAGGCATTACAAAATGGAAATAGAATTAACAGTTTGGAACCAAAGTGCACAAATCCCTTTACAATCATCACACGCTTAATAGCGCTTCGCTGCGGGACACGCGTTTTTCAAGCAAACAGTTCACGATGTGCACACTGAAGATGGCGTTACGTGAAGTGTGCGACACAGCATTTGCATGCACACGGTCTCTCACACCGCGCGCGAGCATGGGAGGCGATTTCGGACACGGCCACGAGCCAAAGATTAGTGCTACAACCTACGTACGGGCTTCCTTGTGAAGAAACTGGCACGGTTAAAATCCTCAAAGGATACGATGCGGAATGGCTCACCTCCACTGCTAAATACATCAGTAATGATAAGTCAGGGGGTGCAGCGGTGGGCACGGTGGTTAGTATTCTGCAATATGAATGTGATCCTCCTGAGTTTGATTCCTGGCCAGAGTTAACATCACCGGGGAATCGATGTTTTCTAAACTTGTTCTGGGTAAACTCCTTTCACAAATCATAAAGTGACGAATTACGTATTTTTTTGTTACGTCATAATTTAGCATCAGTCCGAAACAAATATTTTTAATAGATCGTCCGGAATTTTGTATCGAGAACTGATATCTTTGGAATGTTTTAGATTGATCCAAAATCAGGAACACACCTACTACCTACTATGTATTCTACCCCCCTACCCACTCGCCTACCAATCCACTTTATACTCGGAGTGGAATGGTTCACCCTCCAGTGACTTGTTTTGATTCAGGGTCGTTATTCAATCAGGAATGGATACCATTTTTTTACTGAATTGGAGTGTCTCTTGCCAATGCAGAAGTGATATGAACCCCAACATATACAATACTAACCAACAGCAACAAAAGCAAAATCTTACACAAGTGGTTCAATGCACGAAGGGCACTGCTGGTTACATTTTTCCAGCCAAGCCCCAGACACCTATTGGACATTTAATGACCGATGGTTGCATTGGGCAGTGCAGTAATCAGGACGAGCGCACGTGGCGGTATGCTGTGCACGTCGCGAGTCTCTGCATCGATTTGCTTTCTAATTGTCCCAAGGCGATTCATATAAATCAGGCATGCCTATTTTAAGTTTCGTCTCTTTATTGTGTAATCGGTGAGTGATGTATGTTAGCTCCCAGGGTTATTAGTTTTGTCGCAAGTATCGACAGCCGAAGTGACCCACTGCCTACAATTTCACACCGTTAGGTTTGGCCGAGCGTTAAAAACCACCATATCCATTGCCTCGCTTGACTCATTATAGCCGAGGTGAATTGAGAAGATTCAAGAAATCCATATAACATTATTAGAAGATAATATCTTGACGGCAATAAAACTCAAGCTCTGGTACGACGACGGGAGTCTGTAAAAGGCTCTCACTCCGTTACCTTACAGAGCTCGAGCGGTAATGAACTACGACGTTTAAATCTTGCCTGCTCTATTAAATTGGAAGATTGTCACAGTTGGAGAAAGCACACATTTGTTTTACACCACATTAGATGAGGTGCTGCTCAATCTACCACTGCACTGTGCATGCTGTGTTAACCCCACCAAACAACAAAATAAAAAGGTCAAACTCAAGTGCAAGTTCTCAGGGGGATAAATACAAATCTGCTACTTTGCATGTTACTAAATTGGGTCTTTGTGCCGTTTGAAAAAAGTCGTTTGAAGGCTTTTATAAACCGCAAGTGTACAAGTTGCACTGTCAACATTTTTAATGAAGGCCATGCAGGCTGGTTCTAGGAAGAGTAAGGCCATCTGTATAATTATTTATCCTTACCATCTGCAGCTGCAGTCAAATTCAGATTTAAATAAAAATTAAGGTTAGGCATGGAAATCTAAAACTCACCATAGGGCGATGGCCATTTTCCGCTTCAATGTTCCATTAAAGGCAGTGTTAACAACAATGGTGCCGACATCTGCATGTGCACTACCACTGTAGGTTCTACACCTCGATGTAGCATTCAATATTCTGAACATTTTCATATAAAGCAGCACATATGTAAAGGAAATACATAGTTGTGATGTTTTCATGAATGAAGTCCGAATTAAAATGAAGCAATTTTTATTTGGCATATGGAAGATTGTACAACGTGCGTAATTGTCATAGGGGCACTGAAATAATGGAATAAAAGCTCAAACGTTTAAAATAGAAGGATAATTTAACGCTCAGGCTTAAACTGAACATGGTTAAGGAAATAATAAAATTACTTTATTATACTAGTAACATAATAGTATGGGTAAGGTAGCAAATACAACCTAATGTGATATTTAATGTTAAGACAAGTGGGCTTGATCAGGACACGCGTCGTTCGAATGCAAGCGAATCGATGGACAAGAAGTGACAGGATGGCAGCCCAAGGATATAATGCACCCAAGATGGCCACTATGAGGATGGAGTGATGACCGCTTTAAATAGGCATCAGCACAGGGGAGTTCAAGGCCACCAGGCATGGTTCTGGCCACACACCACTCTCGTGCCATGCCGGTCTTCTTAAGTGCCCACTAACAGTACTCACCCCAACAGTCTGTATGGCGAGGGGAAGGATCTGTCTTTGTGTGTACATGTTTGCGTGCATACATGTGAAATTATGCTACGAGTTCAGTTCATGTGCAGGAGTGATGTAGATTGAGCCATTGTCGGACCGTAAGTGATGGCGATTGGATAAGAGGTCATCTTCCAGCATTGATTGCGGTGGTGATGAAAGGACCACGTTGATTTTATTAGATTTGTCTAATTTACAATCGAACTTGAAGTTATACAACGTTAAATTGTGACTGCACTTTAAAATGCTGTACAAATACGTGAAACATGCATATCTTATTAGCAATGCTGTGGAGTCAGGATAGGATAAAAAGTGTTCATAAATGCACCTCAATAGATTCAGTAAACATGCGACTCTGCAGATCTACCTTCACCATGTCCCTTCAATGGATCCTCCTTCCGTGACCCCAAGAGAGGACTATTTCATGTTTTGTATGGAATGATTTGTCACATCTCCATCATCCAAGGTTAACATGTCCATTAGCCTACTGAAGCTAATTAGAACATTTAATCTGGCAGGTTGGCACTGTGATAAGAGTGCTTGAATCTCAATCATAAGGTTGCAATGTTCAAATCCAACTCAAGGATAAACAACAAAACAACCCTGAAGGGTAAAACAATTACAGAAGCGCAATGCCCTGATAAAGTAGCATTCATAAAACAATCCTCGTTTTGCATGAATATTATTTACATATCTTAAGAGTTTTAGAAGCCGTATATAATTGTAATAATTGGGCTCCAATAGTTAATGTATACAGGACGGCCCATAGTGAAGTCAGTTTGTAGTATAAATATGCATTAACCTTATGCTTAATGAATGTGGTACTCTGCTAGATTTGGGTTTGTTTTTACTGACAGAGTGCACCTCCGATGATATTAAAATGAGAAACGGGAAATGATCAGAGAAAACAAATCTTTCAGCAATACATAGCTGTGTGTTCCTTGACAACATTGGGAGAGCGTACGGATAAAGTTAATGTATTCAACCATTTGTAATTAAGGGTTTCTAAACCCCTGCAGTGCCTACATTAAGCAATATTTTTTAAGTGTTCAGTATTTCTAACATTTAATACGTGAATGATGCATTGGATGGACGATGATATAAGCCGACACGATTACCAAGCTCAAAAAGTGTATCCATGCTCAAATGGGCCCAGGATGGTGCTCATGTATGTTGGAAGCACTGAACAATTGGTGCGAAATGATACGTTCCTATGTTGAGGACAAGTATTCCCATTGAGCAACCACTGCTGAATTTTGATATAAAGCTTTTGTGACTGCAGGGATTAATATTCTTGGTTATTTCGGTAAAGTCATCTGGAAGGGAAATAATAAAATACAAATATAAAACAATAAAAATTATCACGACGTTTCGACTGCAACACAAGCAATCATCAATCATCATCAGGTCTGATCAATCATCATCAGGTGTGATGATTGCTTGTGTTGCAGTCGAAACGTCGTGAGAATTTTTATTGTTTAATATTCGGATTATTTAATTATTTCCCTTCTACATGACTTTACCGAAAGAACCAAGAATATGAACCACTGCTGACTTCACACAAAGTGGTACCTATTTTATCCACGCAATGACGAGCTGAGTGTTCTAAACCAAGGAGACACCCAACTGGATATTTCAATCTTCATTGCTTGAAGAAACATTTTGCCATGCAAATATGTATTCATATTCTTGGATCTTTCGGTAAAGTCACATAGAAGGGACAATAAAATGTTTAATTTTTTAAATGTTTTTATTTCCCTTATACGTGACTTTACCGAAAGATCCAAAAATATGAATCCCTGCAGTCACGAAAGCTTTAAATCGAAAATCAAATATGTATTGTTATAAAAAACAATTAAAAACACCGATACTGCATTCCTCTCTGAAAGTATAACGAGCTACAAATAATGATAGTGCCATATACAAACACTGCTGATCCCTAAAAGGCATCTCACAGCCAAGTCTCAAAACGGAGATTAAGGGCAATGATTATAGACCGCTCCCAAAAAATAACAGTGGATGGTGTCCACATGAGCCCATAATGAAGTGCCTCCTGGTTAGGGCCGACACTTATTTCAGAACATTGAGCTGGAACAAATGGGAGCCAACTAAGGTGAAAGAGCTTAATATTTATGGTTGAAATCAGGTCATCAGAATTAATATCATTACAAAATTTGTTCAACATCTCAACTACATTTGCTTTTGTACTGGATGTGTTATTTTTATTTATTTCCAGCTGAGGAACTGTTAAATATGTATTTATAGATCGAATCAGGTAACACTGAATACAGCCTTGGGGGAAATTTGCATCGTTACAATGCAGGTGCTGAAGCCGACGTGATAATACAAAAAAAATCACCCCCACGGACAGCTTACGGAGTGCCATTTTGTGGTCAAGTCGAGAATGGATTTTGATGAGATACTGTAAGCAATTGTCTGTCATCTCTTTCGAGTTGAATCCCAATGAGACGTGATGCACCACACTGTCTACAGGGGATTACCGTGATGAATGACAACTTCACTCGGCCTTGACGCTGATGGCAACTGGGATTTAATTGGCGTAAATGTTATTTATTATACACGTAATAGCAAGGACTATTAGCATGAAATTATTTTGTCATTAAAATTGGAAAGGGCACTCTTATGAAATGTTATTTATTTCAAGTAATAAAAAGGTTACCCTGTTCAAATGCGCATTAGGGTCACACTCATCTTCACCGGCAGACGTGATGGAGATAGCGGTGGAAATTACACATGTCTATGGCAGAGGACAGTCTCTCTTACGGTACTATTGATTTCTAGCCAAATGGTACTAATTTTATGGCTCAAATATAAATTATCAAGTCAACTCACTTGACCAGGATGTGAACTCATAACCTTGTGATTATGGACGACGTATTCGAACCACAGCACTACTCATTTGATTAATTCATCCACAATTCAAGAGGATTATTTAAAACCTTCTCGGAAGGCAACGCCAGCATACATTAAATGACAGGTCTGACTTCCAGCTCGCTCACTTGCTCGCTCCATCTCATCCTAGAAAGTGTCCGTTATAAAGTACTGCAAAGCATTTTTAAATCTGTATGATTAATCGTGTGTCAATGCAAATGTGTTGAATATGCAAGAGTGCAGAACAGGAGTTGTATTAAGGGGTCAGCAGGTATTATCACAAGTATGTACAAGCCTAAGGGCATCCACACTGTGATAAGGGCTCTACGGAAGCAAAGCCAATAAACATGTTTTATTTTTTTTTATTATTTCCATTCTACGTGACTTTACCGAAAGAACCAAGAAGATGAATCCCTGCAGTCACGAAAGCTTTAAATCAAAAGGCACACCAGTTTTCCCCTCTGGCAGCTAAGAGTTGCAGAGTCAAAACTGTGATTTTACTGCCGGATCTGTTAATTAAGGGAAAATATTAATTATACATAAATATACAGGGGTGCGGTGGTCCAGTTGTAGCACACTACACGATGAACCCAGAAATGTCAGTTCAATGAATGGCCAGAACTCTGAAGATGTGTGAATTTTGACTTGTCATACCCCAACTGTGTTCAGCATTTACCACATTAAATCACAAACACTGTATTATAACAAAAACATACATTTCACAAGCAATAATTTTAGGAAACAGCCCTTCTAATAGTCAAAATGGTGCAGAGATTAACTTATTTTTGAAGATGATACTTAAAGCACAGTGGGATTTCCAACAAATAAATCTAACTAGTCTGAATAGTGGCCATTCAAAGTGTTAGCCTACTATACATGTTATTATGTTCATAAGGCACTGTTAACTTGGCAGGATTAACGTGGTACGTTTTGATGTATGCTTGTGCACCATTGCCAAGACTACCCCTGAGATATCTTCGCATGAAACCTAATTGTAATGCTTTGCATAGAGCTCATCTTAGTTGACACAAAGCCAAGTAACAAGGCAAAGTCTACAAGAAGCATTATAGTAGCTATGATGGTTAAGATTAATGTGGATTGTCCAAGCTGTGTAAATTATGCAGTGAAAGCCTTGTGTGAGAATCGACCAAGGATATATATTTTAAAAACTCTTCACTCAATGTGCACTTTGCAATCTGAAATAAAACACTCTAATAAGCTATAAAGCAAAGGCACAAACCATGAAAAGAGGATCTTGGTCTCTATGGGCCAAGGTCGGGTCATTAAACAAAAGTACTGTGGCATATTTCCATTATGTTGCGTGCAAAATATATTGTCATCAATGTATACTACTTAAAACTACCAAAGACATGTGAGCCTCCAGTAGGTCAATGACATTCACAAACATGGAGAGGATTTAACCGCTGTGTCCTGTCGGTCTCTAACCACCGCACCATGGAAGCAAAGGCAAGGAGTGCTTGCATCGCGTAATGCTTGGCATTCGTCTCAGCATATGCGCACATGTTTTCCAGCCGATAGGAATTCTTGTTGTCCGATGGGAATGCCACCTCCTTCCCAGCAAACTTCAGATTTAACACGTAGGCTTTCGTGACCAATATTATTCATAATCAACGTTTTTGGGTTTAGATCGCGTTATTTATAAATGTGTCGTAACCCTCCACCACCCGACACTGCCAATCGGTAAAAAAGTGTCACGTTGACAAAAGACAAATAGTTCACTGCTTTAGCCCATCGGTTCTGGCGAATTGCCCGATGATGCTGGATGCAATTACCAGTGAAACGTCGCACTCAAATTATAAATATTGTGGTTTCACGCTTCAACACACCGGTGGGCTAAAGCAGTGAACTATCTGTCTTTTGTCAACGTGACACTTTTTTACTGATTGGCCGTGTCGGGTGGTGGAGGGTTACCACACATTTATAAATAACGCGATCTAAACCCAAAAACGTTGATTATGAATAATATTGGTCGCGAAAGCCTACGTTTTAAACTGGGTAAATGTTTTGCAAGTGCTACATAATGAAGATGACCAATGTAATAAAAAAAAATACTCACTGTAGTAGTTGTATACCAGTCCTATATTGCACTCATGATTCCTAATAACAATTTACCATAATGCAGTTGCCAGTGTTTCTTTCGTAGCCAGGGCACATTTTCAACATTGTGAGATTGGTGAACAAGAATAATAATAATGATGCTGTGCGCGCGCGCACACACACATCCTCTAGGCCTGCACAGCCTTGTGGGTTTTGAACATGGTGCCGTGTAAATTCAGTAGCTGACACCTCCTGTGCCTGTGTTCTTAGAAAGCCGTACCCGATGTTGGAAGAAGGAAGGGTCCAGGTACTTATCAAATCGACTCTCAAATTTCACTTCAGATTTCTTCCATTTCACCTGGAAAATAAACACATGGTAAATGCACTTTTAGCAAGGGTATAACACACCAATGTAATTCAAATAGCATATAAAATGTTAAATGAAAAAATAACAGAACTCTAGTTATCTGTGGTCTGGTTATCTGGGGATTCAGATATCCGTGGTTGGTGGAACATGGATCGCTCTTACAGTTATCTTGGCAACTGCTCATTTGTAGTTACCCCATCGAACAGGAGTTATAGACGTGAGAACTCCAGTTACCCAGGGGGAAGGGCGATGATAAGTCAGATATTGCCAAACTTGCCATACCTGAAAATCTGGTTTAGCATTGTGTGGAACCTCAGGATTAAAACGAAGGAATTCAACAATGACTCTGTTACCTGACACCACGTACCGAACATCACGTGCATCACCGTTTTCCCAAAACACAGGAATAAAAACAGTGAGCGCAGAGTGAGCCCAATAGACCGAGAGCATCCTTACGGAGTAAGATAGCGGGATCTTGGTGTTGGGCACCAGCTTGACCTTGGACTCGCTCGTCAAGTTCACATCCACTATCTTGTTGTCTTTGTAGCCAATTTCCAGCTTCTTGTACGTCCACAAGTACTGGCTCTCCGCGTTCTCGTCCGCCTCGCCGACGATGCCTGCACGCACAGGAGACGACGGGGGGGGGGGGGGGGCGGCACAGTCACTCCCTGTGCAACCTGGCTGCCTACAAAGCCATCGCAAATCGCCCATTCACCAGAGGTCGCAATCGGGTACCCGTACCCTACCCGATACCCGGCTACCCGTACCCGGCCGGGTACGGGTAGCCGTTTGCGACCCTGGTGCGGCCGGGTACGGGTACGGGTAGGCCGTGAGTCACTGGTGAGTAACCGTTTGTCACTCATTTCGGGTAGGGTACGGGTAGGATACGGCTACCTGTACCCGGCCGGGTACGGGTATCGGGTACCCATTTGCGACCCTGGTGCGGCCAGGTACGGGTAAGGAATCAAAACCCGTTTGTGACCTCTGCCATTCACGTTCCTGGCCAAGGGTTAAATAGGTGGAACGAACGGAGGAGACTCTCACCATTTGGTGGTTTTAAATGTAAAATGTCAGCAACACGGGCTTTTGGTCAGTTTTTTTTACTAAAATGTCTTTGATTTCTAATATGTCTACAGGGAACACAATGAAACGGTGAGATAGATGCAAGAAAAGGCCAGCAGGCTTAGTCAAGAAGTCTTCGTGTACATATCCATTTATAGTAATGAACGTTGTCATGCATGTTGAACTTCTTTCGCACCATACATAGCCAACCGTGCTAATCGGAAGTGTCAGTATCTATCCTACAGTGGTTCACAACTACCATGAGCATCGTGCTAAAATCAATTATATCTGCCAAACAGTGCTTGCATTTCTTCATTTATAGGCAATTAAAAAGTAACAAAAATATACAAATGAATGTGCACATTTAAACCATTGAGTTAGATTAAAGTTGTACAATTAATCAAATAATTGAACGGAAAATTCCACTGGTTGAATGTCTTACACAAACGCCATACATCCACTTACCCCAGATAGGAAGATCATCGATGTACATTTGGTACCAGTAGTGATTCTTCACAGCGTACACAAAGGATTTATGTTTCTCCTTGTCCAGTTCAATGTTGCAGTAGGTCGTTTGAAAAACATCCTCTGGAAGCAAAGGAAAGATAATGAAACATTTTATATATACAAACCTTAAAGTAGAAAATTTCATAATTCTCCACCAGCTATTAGATTAAGCGATGACAGGCAAGCAATATAAAGGATGTCATTACTGCATTATTATGCATACCACAATATCCATTGTTACACTGATGCAGTCCATCCCTAAAGAAGTACATGTACAGTAAACCCTTGCTAAGCGCGAGTTTTGAATTCGCGAGTATTCCATATTCGCGAGTTACAAAATGTTAAATGTATAACAATTCCCTATTCGCCAGACTACAGTATGCGCGAGAGTGCGTAGTGCCAGACCACCGACACGGGGGAGGTGCGTGCGGAATTTTACATTTGAAGCTATCTGCGGAGATTAGGCCACGCTCCCTCCCTCAGCTGCCCGCGTAGTCCTCGGTCTCGCGGCAATCCCGCTCCGAAACCGCCTCTCTTGTGCCTTTTTACTTTATACAGCAAAACCTCGATATTTTGGTATTTTAGCATTCGTAATTGGGGATAATTCGACACGGCTGCGCTTTCGGCATGTATACAGTATTAGTAATTCGCCATTAGCCGAATTGCCGTACCGACTGATCCAATTTCGACACCGCGTGCCACGATTAAAACGACGACTCTCCAGTGTTGCCGCTTGTTCGAAGTGGAGAGACCAAGTACTACTAAGGCACTTGCAAATGGCAACATCATCCCTCGCACTTTCCTGTTTTTCGCCAGCCAGCCCAGGCCTCCCGGCATACTGGAACTGGCTTCTCATTATTGCTGGGGACGTCGAAACGAATCCAGGCCCGTTTTTCCCTTGTGGCGGCTGCGGCAAGAACGTCGATGCAAATTCTATCCAATGCAACGGTTGTAAAGCTTGGTACCACAAACGCTGCACTACTTTAGCCCACATCCCCAGTTCAAATTCCAGCTGCTTCTGCAAATATTAGTCATCATCCACTCCAACAACTCCACCTTGCACAACCACACTAGCACCACCACTTCATCCATCGCAACCACCGTGACAACCACAACAAAAACGACCTAAAATACTTCAACTAAACATCAATGGCATCAACAACAAATCTCTTGAACTCAGCACCTTCTTACAACAAAACTCCATTAATATAGCCGCCATTCAAGAAAACTAAATTTAAACCCACTTCTCGCCCGCCGAACTTTCAAAATTAAACTCTCCCCCGTCGAGACCGACCAACAGCTGGTGGCGGTTTAGCTTTCCTCATCTATAACATTCAATTTGAATAAATTAAAATCCCAATGCCTCCTTCTGATATCACCACATAAGTCTTAAGCGTCCGTATCCAATCCCATCTCGGCCCACTACTCACTATAATCAACGTCTACATCCCACCGACCAGTTCTTGCCCTCACAACCATCAGTTTAATATAAATCGACTTTTACCAAACAACGACTCAATTGTTATTGGAGATTTCAACGCCAAAAACAAACTTTTGCACTCTTCCCTTTCAGATGCACGTGGCGACCTCATTGTCTATATCTTGAACGGCTCCCCCTATGGGGTACTCAATGAAAATAATCAAACCAGAGTTGTCATCTGGCCCTTCATCCTCACCAGATATCTCAATAGCGTCAGGAAACCTCCTTTCATCAATCGACTGGCAAGTCTTTACGGCCCTTGGATCTGACCACCTACCTATTGTGTTGACCCTCAATGGCGCCATGCCTTCACAAACTCTAAAAAACCACTTGTATTACAACTTTTAAAAAGCCAACTGGCCACTTTATACACGAAAAGCATTATTCGCCGACAACATCAACCATATCCACATATCGGCACAACTGTGAAAAGATTTTCAGAAACATCGCGACTACCACCAAGCACACCATCCCGGCGGGTTGCTACAAGCAACACCTTCCCTGCCTCCCTAAAGAAGCCTCAACGCTAATAAACCAACAAAACACTATTAGTTTCGTTCATTACACAAATGCCAGCCTTCAATATTGAAATCACAAAGCTAATCAATCAAGCTAAAATAGAACACTGGCACGAGTTTGCTGAATCTTTTGACCACCGCCAAAACTCATCAAAACTTTGGAAGACCAAAGCCTTAGACGGACACTCCAAACCACCACCCAATTGTGCAATCACTTTCAACAACAAATCCGTCAAACAACAATAACATCGCCAACAACGTCAAACTTTTTTCATCAGTCATCCCACACTCTTCCAATAAATCCACCCGTCAAAAAATCCATCAAATCAATTTAGCCATGAAGAGGTGAAACTAGTAGTGATAGGTTTTTACCCTTTCAACTGGTAAAAAAACGGACACCTTTATACAAGGCATCATGTTTGCAATAACCACAACACAAGCAGTCAAAATGCAAACAAAAAGAAACAACTATGATGATAATGATATGCACTGTCCTTGAAGTTGATTAGTCCACACTCGAGACAGCATTTCTTAGAGCCTAGTCTCCATTGGTGTTGGACTAGATGACGCCAAAAGGCGTACAACTCAAAGACAGCGCACTATCAGAGTATTGAGAGCTCGGGGTAAACATTTACACTATGAGACCTCCTTTACCAGTGGCAAAATATAGTAGTAGGTTTTTACCCTTTCAACTGGTGAAACTAGCCATCAAAAAAGCCAAAAATTATTCCGCAATGGGCCCCGATGGCATAGCTATGCCCCACCTCAAACACCTCGGCCCCCTTGGCATAAAGTTTCTCGCCTCCACCATTAACGCCTCACTCCAGTGTAACCTCATTCCGGCCATCTGGAAATCATCGACAATCATCCCACTTCCAAAACCCGACAAAGACCTAAATCAAGCAACATCCTACAGGCCGATTCTCCTACTTTGCCCATCAATCAAAATTTTAGAGGCCCTCATCCTTCCAATCATCACCACCAACTTACCTCCATCATTTGACCAACATGGCTTTCGCCCTGCACACTCAACAGCTCTTCTCAACCTAACCACCCAAATTGCAAACAGTTTCAATGAGAAAAAGCCCCCATCCTGCACTAACGTCGCTTCCCTTGACCTTAAAAATGCTTTCGACACCGTTAACCACCTCACACTCATCGACATCATCCAGGGTTCTACGCTACCATCAAGTCTTGTTTGCTGGCTTACAAATTACTGAAGGGGCCGCCAATCACGCACTCTCTTTCGTGATATTCAATCCTCATGAAACATTCATGCAGGAGTACCACAAGGTTCCATAATATCCCCAGTGCTGTTCAACGCCTACCTCCACGATCTACAAACTCCTCCAAAAGGAACACAGGTATGCCGACGACACCACAATTTACACTTCTAATCAAAATAAACCCAAAATGGAAAACTCCAACTCCTATCTAAATCGGCTCAGCACTTTCCTAGCCAATAGATCGCTTCAATTCTCAACATCCAAATCAAGTCACCCTTTTCACACCTGATCCTCATCAAGCCAACTTACATCCCAATATCATAATAAACAACCAAGGCCTCCCGCTAGCAAAAAAACCCCAAAATTCTAGGTGTAACCTTTGACACCATGTTCAGCTTCGCTCAACATGGCAAAAACGTCCATGCAAAAGCTAACAAAGGAAAAAACATCTTACGAGCTTTAGCCGGCACATCTTGGAGTCAACAAAAGGAGACTTTACTCCTAACCTACAAAGCCATTTGACGTCCGATCATCAATTATGCCAGCCCCATTAAGTGTCCAAACCTCTCCTCTACAGGTTACCAAAAGCTCCAAACTGCCCAAAACCAAGAACTTCGCCTAACCACAGGATACCACCTCATGGCGCCCATTGACCATCTCCACCAAGAAACCAAAGTTCTTCCGATTCAAGAACACTACAAGCTTCTCACTGATCAATATCTGGCTTCATGCCACTCGACAACGCATCCTTGCACAAAGCTACTCAAAGCCCCTGCACCTGCTAAGAAAATGAAATCCACCTTGCTTTCCTTCAGCTCTGCCAACGCGCAATCTACTTTAAACACTCTTCCACCAAATCGCACCACCAAATAAATTTTGAACCATTTGCACACCGCTGCCACCATGCACTGCCTGAAAGGCCTACAAGCCCAATGTCGTGCTCGGGAGTTGGCCCCCACCCATAGCAGACAACGAAAAATCCCTGACCCGGGCATCTCGCACAAAACTCGCTCAACTCCGTTCAGGTTACTGCTCCATGCTAGCCGATTACCAAAATCGAATCGACCCAAACGCCCCAAACTGCTGCCCTTTGAGCCAAGCAACGCCAGAAGATGTCTCCCATTTTCTCAGTTGCCCAAAACGTGGACCAAAAATTAAATCGATTGATCTCTGGCTTAACCCTTCCGAAGTGGCGACACACGCCACCTATAAACGGAAAGTGCGAGGAACACAACTAAAACAACAACTCAGTCGAGTGGCGGCACGCATGGTGAGCGTGAGTGCAGACCTGTTGCTTTGGACTTTACCTTGTTAATGCACTGTGCAAGTAATAGAAAGGGACTGAAGTATAAATCCCTTAGTCTGCGAGACAAATCCAAAGTTTTGGATAGAATTGATGCAGGTGTGTGTCAATGCATATGGTGTGTGAAGAGTTTGACGTAAAATCAAGCACCGTTCACGACATCAAGAATGGCCAGAAGATTAGGAAGCATGCCTTGGAGTTTAAGTGCATACTAAATGATGACGTCACCCTGCTGCTGCTCTATTTAAGAGCGGGAGCAAGAGAAGAGCCTCACCATTCTGGAAAATTGCCTGATGAAGCTGGATGTAATTACCAGCAAAACGTCTTACTCACATTTTAAAATAATTCACTCTTCAACACACCGGTGGTCTAAAGAAGTGAATTATTTTGTCCTTTGTAAACGGACACATTTTTTACTCTTTGGCCGTGTCGGGTGGTGGAGAGTTACAACACATTTATAAATAACGCGATCTAACCCAAAAACCTTTATTATGAATAATATTGGTCGCGAAAGCCTACGTGTTAAACAAAGTGCATTAAGCCCCCCCCCCCAC